GCCTTCCTACTTTCGGATTCTTCGAACTCGTCGATTAATCGCGTTTTTAGGTCCGTGTAGGGCGTGTTCGTCAACGGTTGGGATATTAGATCGGCGACCAATTCGGCTATTTCACAGTCAAGCGATCCTAGTACATGATGGTATTTCGTAACTTCTGTCGTGATATTAGAGACAGCGAATTGTGATTCCACCTGTGTGAACCATACTCTAACGTTCTTTCTCCAAAAGGGTAGAATTTTCACCGATACACGTGCTACCTCGACGGGGTCTTCGCTCTTGCTCATGACGGAAATATATAATATAAATACTCACAAAATTGGGTAAATAAGTTCTTGTGGTCATGTCCGGCTCACCACTTTGGGGTCTTGATCAAATAATTGCAGATTTCAATTAATAAAACAAATTTATTAAGCGCTCGAATACTGTACAGAGTGCCGGCAGTGTCGTACACGTGGTCAGACAGACTGTCCGGGAGACAAAGACTGAAAACTAAGGGCACGGTAAGTGTTGCCAGGTTGGCCACAGTTTGTTAAGTTATGGAACCCAACACTTGGGAGATCTGCCTATGTAAGAAGGACAGGACACAACACTCCGACGGCCATCGTCTCAAATGGCAAATCAGTTCTCCAGGCAGTCGCCAATGTTAATTTTTCCTCTTCAGCGGTTATTATTGACCTATCTGCAACTATCAGCTCCCACCCAACACCCCTTGAAATCGGGTGGACCCCTGGTCACGTTGGCATTCACATAAATGAAGCGGCAGACCAAGCCGCTAGTCATGACACTCCCATCGGCTCCTGATGGAGACCTCTCATGGCACGTGACCTCATACGTCAGATGCAGGAATCGATCATCCGCAACTACACAGATACCTGGTCTACTATTCTTCGGGGAAAAGGTCGCGAACATCTCCGACCTTTCGTCCCTTGGATATACCATCATACCTCGTCTCGCCACACAGAAACCCTATTGGCTAGACTTCGAACCGATACGGCCACCTTAAACAACTTCCTCTATTCTCGACGCCAATGAGACTCGCCTGATTGCCCCCACTGTGGCTCGCCAGAAACTTCCGTTCACTATTGGCTTGTCTGCCCGAAATACACACGGACCCGCCAAGAGCTAGGCCGTCTCTTAACCTTGGACCTTACGATCGTCCGTACATTAACTCTGATATACTGGCCTTATACCGACCTTCCTCCTCGCCAACATATCGAAATCTTGGAGCGTTTTGTTCACCGCACCAACCGCTTTACCTAATTTCTAAGCGGAATGATTCGGAAAAAAAGCCAACAGGCTAGAGTCTCCATATTAATAAGACAAGAAAGAAAGAAAAAGAAAGAAAGAAAGAAAAAGGTCAGGACACGCTCCCGTGATTCTATGCGGCAGCGGCCATTTTGGGGCTTATGGATAGATTATACTCCACACGTAGTTCCTGCATGAGTCGACTATTATTACGTATATAAGTACACAAAACTTTAAACAAATTGTAAAAGTAAATCTACAGACATTCGATTGTTTAGATTTCCCGCAAATAAGCAGAGGAAAGCAAAATGTAGCGTAGGCATCAAGGGATGGTTCATGACGCAATTCAAAGAGTTTGCAACAAGTGGTTTAAACCCGTGGATATTCTTCGTATCCATGAACGAACTATACATGGAAATTTATAAATGACATTGGCAATCCAGATATAAAACAAATGAATTTTTTTTAAATTTTTCTATTTGATGATAAAATAATTAAACATATAACTGTTTTAATATGACCATATTGTATTTAAAAATAAAATTATGATGATGGTATTGACTTATACTCTCAATATTTATTAATAAAACATTGCAAAAAAATTTAGTTTAATAATAATTTATACTTAATTCAATTTAAATAAAATTTACATTAATTTTATTGTTAGAATTTTTATTTTAAAAGAAGTGATGGAAATCTAAATACAGTAGAGCGTCGTTTATCCGAATCAATCGGGGACTGGAGTTGTTCGGATAACTTATTTTTCGGATAACCGATTATGTACGAAAAAATATATTAACCTATCCCGTGTTGAAATTTTTCTCCGTTGCGTGTCGCTTCGCGTTGAATTTTCGTCGATGTTAAGCCTAACGTAAAGTTTTTAAAATAATCGTGGCTATTGTATCGTTATAAATGATTTTTTTATGTTTTACAAACGAAATAAATACATTGAGAAATATAAAAACAAATAAAAATTATACTTTAGGCCGACTGGAATTCTTTCGAATAACCGACTTTCGGATAAACGACGCTTTACTGTATATGTAATTCTTATAATCTAGAGATTTTATAATATTGTTATTGCATCACTTTACGAAGTGCCTATATACGTAATTGCATCAGTTTTAGCACCTATTTAATTAGTTTCAATCACGACAGCGAATGATATGCATGATTGTTTCTTTTAAACTACAGTAGAGCGTCGATTTTCCGAAAATCAATCATCCGAAAAAATTCCAGTCGCCAAATTTAAATTTTCGCCAGTGCTGTGGCGCTTCAATCTTTGGCTATGTCTTGGATTACTCAAATATTTTACGTTTTTAATACTAAATTAACATCTGAAGTATAATTTTTTTATTATTTTTATATTTTTAAATATATTTATTTTGTTTGTACAAAATAAAAAAATAATTTTTAACGATACAATAGTTATTGTTAGGCTTAACATCGACGAAAATTCAACGCGAAGCGACACGCAACGGATAAAAATTTCGACATCGGATACGTTAAATTATTTTTTTGTACGTAAATCAGTTATCCTAAATATCAGTTATCCGGACAACCCCAGTCCCCAATTGATTCGGAAAATCGACGCTCTACTGTATTTGATGAAAACGTTACATAAAACTGGGGTTGAGTAATCATCCGAAATTATTATTATATTTTCGACTAGAAATCATTGGATTTATGCAATTTTAATTTAATTAATGTCGTATAAAACTGACTGCTCGTACAAGCCCCAAAATGGCGGCTCAAGAAGTAGGTCACGCGTGTCCTGACCTTCTTATATAGACCTTGCTTTAAAAGAAATGGCATTCAGGATACGTATTACCTATTATTTGGAACTGTGGTCATACTTAAGCATTAATATTTAAACATTTTAGAAGATTTTAATGAATCTTTTATGTGGCGTATAACATGAATATTATATTTATCAATGACTATCGTATAGACTTTATAGATTATCAATATTGAAAATGCATTATTGCAACTTTTATACGTTGCAATTCTTAGTTTTATTGATTTTCAGATGAGAAAATTCGTGAATGGTATAAAAATATAATGTTAATAAAATAAAATTTTATTATTAAGTTATATTTTCTATTTTGTTTTAGTGGATAATAAAAATAATATGTACAATTTTTCAATAACAAAAACATATTCACGGAGACAAACACATTCATATTTCTTTTTTTCACAACCTATAATACACGGAATTATTGCACGATATTGCTCGTTTACGTCTGAAAAAATGTCATATTTTGCATTTGAAGTTCAGTGTTATTTACTGCTGCTGCCGCCCAAGCAGGAAAAGTGTCTAAATTAAACATAACTTTGCCTAATGTATTGATCATGGTAAACTGTACCACTAAACAGATGATATTCATGGCAATTCCAGCTTTCATCTATAAAGAGAAAAATATCTATCTTTATAAGCTATAAAACTTGTAGAAGAAGATAATAAATAGAGAATTTACCATGTCAGTAACCTTCATTTTTGAAGCATCGAAAACAATGGCATTTGGAGGAGTGGCAACTGGTAAGAGAAATGCATAAGAAGTGGATACCGTAACGGGTAACATTAAAAATAAGGGATTTATTTTTAAGAATACTGCCTGAAAAATTTTGAAAATGTTCGCATATTAATTAAAGATTAATTAATAAATTTATAATATGTTATCTTATCTATTGTAAATACTTACTAGTTGTATCATAACGGGTAAAACTATAGTTGCCACCGCCGTATTGCTAGTGATTTCAGTAAGAAATAAAGTAATGAAACACATCAGTGCAATTATGGCTTCTGTGGGAAGATACTCGAAATATGTCAATTGATGTCCTATCCATTCGTCTAAGTGTGATGTCTAAAATTTCCAATAACATTAAAAAGTAATCAATTTTACAATATTTTCTAAATAAACTAATATAAAATGCATTAAACTTACTTCAGCACCTTTAGCCATGGCAAATCCACCACCAATTAGCAAGATAATCCCCCAAGGTAATTTCAATTGAGCCGTTTTCCAGTCTAATAATGGTGGACTTCTTCCTAATTGTTTAGGTTTGGCCGGAATTAGAAAGAGTAATATGGCAATGGCTATGGCTGGTGTGGCATCATCTACTTCCCTGTTAAAAATTTATAAATTTAATACAGATAAATTTTAATGATGGCATCAGGCGATACCTCATGCACCCAAGTTAAGAAAGTATGCCTTGTAGAGTTGGATTTTAAGTACAAATTGCAATTGGATTGAACTGAAGATAATACAGTATATATTATATCTTGCGTACTGATATAAAAACTGCTGGAAATCGCGTACACAACCAAAGGGTTTTAAACCTCTGAGTACCCTATATGGCTTTAACCGGGTGCAAATTAAAATTATTTGAAACTTTTATATTTTCTCTTTATTTTAGAAGCGATAATATGATATTTTAATTTAATTTTACTTTTCTAATAATGTTTTAAATGTGTACATACACCGTTGGATCGAACAGTTCCACCCATCCTGGAATGAATTTCGGATCCCTGAACAACCATAAAATCACTAAAATAATAAACAATATTAAAACGGCGCATTCGTGGAATCTGAAATTAAATAAAGAAAATATTATTTTGAATAAAATTGCATAAATAATTTCGTTAAATACATAAAATACATTACGTAATTCTTCCTAATTCTAAGTACTTTTTTCTTATCGCTTCCGTTATTGTTTGATCATCGGAATCTTTTCCTCTGAAGATAATATGTAAGTTAATATGCTATAATATATATTATGATGATGTTAAATATTTAAATTTATTACCTGTATTTCATGATAACAAATGTCAAATATATCCACGCTAAAAATACACAAATCAACATCCCAGGCACATTGTACATCATCCAGGTGGCAAATGTTATTTCTCTGGATTGTGGAAATTTTCTAAAAATATTTAAAAAATACGTTAAAATTAAACACTTAAAAGTTGAGATTCTTAGTACTTTTTACGTCCTCTCACTATCCTTGTAAGTGAATTTAATGTTTGTGTTACTCGGCTTTTCTGCAAATGCAAAAACTAATCTCAGACCTTCCTACAGAGGAACTTGTTGCTCCAACTCGTACGCTTCCGTAGGGAGGGAATTTGAATGGGAAACTTGCTGTTCCCTTACAAAATCGGAGGAAGCCACAACAAAAAAAAAAAACGAGGAAAAAAGCGGAGAAAGTAAAAAAGCTAACAAATTATTAGTGATGAAAAGTTAAAAATTGATACTCTTTCTTTCAGAAAAATCAACTCTCTCTACCTCCATAATTAAAGTGTCTCTGTAAGCCCCTATATTCGTTTTTCACCTCTTCTGGGTAAATGAAAAAAGGTATTTGTTGCATATTTGTCTTGAGTGAAAAAGGCGCATACTTATGTGAAGTCGAAATGTAATTACAGCATTTTAAAGAAAATAAGCATGCAAATGCCCCATATTTATCGAATTGTACAATAATTTTCTTCATTATAGTAATCTGTTCTACTCCTTTGTGGGGTATTGTTATTTTTTTGGTGCACAGAACAAGTTTGCTGTAAAATGCACGTGTAACTTTCCTTATTTCCAACAATTAAAATAAATTGAATCAAATTTAAACGCGTATCAAATTAACAGAAGCAAAAATTTAAACTCGTTATAACGTAATCCATTATAACTAGTTTAATTTAATAACAGTAATTTAATGATTGTAGCAATTATCAAACGAACTTTGTTTTCAGTAACACCGCGTAATTGCTGCCGTTATAACAATAGATAAAAGCAATGATAAGTATAAGTTATGACTTTTTACGAATGTTCATAACCCGAACAATGCTTATAATTTAAATTTAACGCATGACTATACACTTTAAGTAATAACTTCACACGTTTTTATAAATGCAACTTACTCTTCGAGCATCCCTTTCATAACTAAGTTAGGGCCAGTTCCTGTCAATGATCCAGTTCCTCCGCAATTGGCAGCGTAACAGATGCTCAACATTAATGCAATCCGCATTCTTTTGAATGTTTTATCATTTTCATTATCTCTAATAATTTAAAAAAAAGCAAAATGTTTAATATCTACTCAAACATAACACGGGATTTATCATATAAAATAATCCTCACCCATTAATTCGTTCTATGTTCGAGTTGGATACGGTACAAATCGTTTTCACTTCTTTATCGTTCTGCACTATAATAATTATTTAATTTGTTTCTATAAATGTCCTTACCCTAAGTTACAAAGATAGCCCAAAACTACAGGATCAAACTTGAGCATAGTTTAAATGCTCACCTCGTGCATGCCCTATGTATTCTACGAACACGTAAATTAATCATTAAACTTACCACTAATGTCTTCCAGATTTATGGCATTGTATTTGTTAACCTTTTTCTTAAGTTCTTCGATAATTGCCTCGATGATAGGCACCATCATGGCAGTAGTGGCAGTGTTAGAGATCCACATAGACAGGAACATAGTAATTAACATAAAACCCAACATCAACCTATTTTTGAGTTAAACGATTTTAAGTTTAACAATTTTAACTTCCACAGATCAATTTTAATGATTTTTTTTACCAGTGTACTCCTCTATTCATCACTAATAAAACTTTAAGTGCAACCCTCTTGTGTAAGTTACAATGTTCTATGGCCACAGCCAACGTCAATCCTCCTATAAACATCATAATGGTTTCCTGAGAAGAAAATTAATGATATTTTAATCAAATTTGTAAGTAGTAAACACGAATTTTTATATGTAAATCTTACTTTCATATAAAGTCGACTAAGTTCATCCGTATTAACTACACCGAATATAGGAAGTAACACTACAGGCATTAACGATGTAACAGGCAAAGGTAATATCTCCAACATCCAAAATATTGCCATTAGAATGCAAACACATCCCGCTCTCAATTTCTGGAATAAAAAAAAAATAAAGTATAATATAATAATTTCGAATAATAATTCAGACTTAAAATATGTTAGGTTTGCTTTTAAAATTATTAAAATAATCTGTTAATTCGAGTGTTACAGGTTTTTTAGAGCCTGTAGCTATGCTTCACTGCGAAACAAGATGATGGAATTATGATTCATCGCACTTTTTCACGCCATATTTTTTTATTTCCAACATAAAATTACTTTTATACAAGTTAATTATTATCGCTAAACAGTATTTTAGCGTGTATACATTAATAGCAAATCGTATTTTCCCTCTCAAACTGATATTTATCGTGTTATTTACGACATAGTAATGTACAGTACAGTTTAGAGCTTCACAACTTTACGTGTATTAAAATTTAATGGAGGGAGGACCCTGTAATATATTATTACTTAGATCCACAAGAAATCTAAGTCTAGATCTAGTTTAGTCGAAAATTAAAGATATGCTTGTTATATTTAGGTTCTTAACCGTAAATCTAATGGTTTATATACTTTTTCATGGGTTAAAATGCCGGGTATAAATCATTTTTACCATTACAATTTAAAATAATGTAAATTATGCGGAATTAAATGCGTACAAATTTAAAAATATTTGAAGAAAAATTGTGAAATATGAAAACAATAAGAATCACACTGTTCCAATTAAACACAGGGTATAAAGCAACCAGCATGTGGTTATAAACGGAATGCACTTGTTAAACGATTGTATTCGGTTGCAGCGAGAAAAACTTGGCATTATTTCAAAAATAACAACGTCAAGGACGTATATTTATAGATCCTTTTACAATAATTTCATTAACATGAGAAAGCTAAAGGCTTCAGGCTAACAATAAACTAGGCCAAGAATTTAAAACAAAAACTTAATATACAAGATATATATTACATAGAAGATATTGTAGACAAAATTTATTAACCCACCAGTGGCCGAAAAGATATAAAAAATCACTGAACACTGATAGTTTGTCTTGAGTAACCACATGGAGTTTTCTGTGTTTTCTTCACGTTTGCAACACCTAAATAGGAGCCAGTTTCCTTATTTAGGAGTTGCATCCACTCGGCACATCGCCCACGTGTTAAGTAACAAATAAAACAAGCCAATCCTGTATCTTTGACATTTTTCTAAACTGGGCATTCTGTAGGATCACTAATATCCAAATTAGGTTTTTTTTACTGTATTTTTCATTTAAAAAATGTTTCAAGAAGCAAAATTAAATAGTATTGCATTTAAATTTTATTCGTCTAACCAATCATCGTTCTATTAATCACATTTCCAACCAATAAGATCATTACAATTTTGAAAAACTTAAAATCATTAATTTCTTCAGATATGTCAAAGGACCGCCTATATTATCATGAAATAATATAAAATATTTGTAAATCTTTCAAAATTGTTATGATTTTATTACAAAATTATGTATATCTAGAGCATAAATTTCATTTTTTTACGTCGAAATAATGTAAGAATAAACCATTGTAAACATTTACAAGCCATTGCATAATTATCGCGGAATTCCAAAATTTAAAAAAATACATACATCATCATGTTATATTGTTACATAATTATTATATATTTTTAAAAAATACAATTATATTTATTCGAAAAATTATTTAAACATATTTGATGGATGATATAAAAATATATGCAACGTTGCAAACATCTTTTCATCGTCCATTGCAAAATATATCGAAATATAAATAAGTGACGTTTTCGAAGTATAAATATACACTTAATGGCAGCTACAAAGGAAAATAATTATATAAAACTTTTTAAATAACAGACTTTAATGAATGTTTCAAAAGAAGGTTAATACCGATCAATTTAACTTAAATAAACTCATATTGTAGATGAAGCAAGACTTAAAATTATTTGGAGTACCACACTTGTAATTGGATGCTTCAAGAGATTTAACAATCCTCACGTGTTCAAAACAGCTATACGAGTTTATTTTAGAGCATTTATAGAGCAACATTTTGTAATCTGGCATACAGATTGGTTTATTTATGTGTGGTAATACCTGAAATTCAATAACTACCAGAGAATCTTGTGATAACTGTAGAAGATTTTTGAGACATCCTGAATAACAAATTTGTTGTTAAAGATCTACTGAGGCTCTAAAACTGATTGAAAACTACTGTTCTAGAGTCTTGAAATGAATTTATACAAGACATTTCTCATATATTTGTTAGCATTTTTGAAGCACTCTGTGTTTTATGTACACAGTTAAAGAGTAAGATTTAGAAAATAGTCTAAAATTCATATGTCATGTATAATAATTGGTTTATATGGAAGATCTTCCGGAGGGGTGTGTCCTGGGAGTACTTCCTTTGGGAAATTGGTCCCTATTTTAGGTGTTATAAACATGAAGAAAACCCGTGGTCAGGAGACCAGTGTTTAGTAGTTTCATCCACTTATGTGCACGTATAATAATACATTTGCCTGATGACACTTTGTATTCATTATTTGATAGTTTTCAATGCTAAAATATGCAATAAATGATACATAAATTCAAAAATAAAATTTATTTTCAAGATATATGTTTACGATATAAAATCAAAGTTCTAAATACAGTACAGGAAAATTTTCTATTTATAAAAATTCAAATTTCATCATTTTGTTACTGATACGGGGAAAATTTAGTTATTGTTCTATTGAATATTTTTTATTAAATATTTAATTAATTTTTATTTATTTTGAAACTACTTTAGTAACTTCGTTTAGGTCAGCAAAATTTTTATAAATATCGAAAATTTCCGAATAAATTTATGGATATAATTTAATGAAAATACGTGTTAATTAGCGTACTTTTAAAACAAATATTTATGAATATTTCTTGCTAAATAACAGTAAAATCTTCGAAAATATCTGAATAGAATAATATATCCTACAATATAGAAATTTCATGAGGGCATTACTCTATAAAATTCTTCACGAAGGACAAATTCCTGTTTGACTTCTTGAACTCGGCAATGGTGAATAATAATGAATTTTTCCTTTCTTTAAACTGTTTATTCATAAAAAGAAAAAGAATTATAAAGAGAAAATAACTCTTACTTCTGTAATTTTTCCTTGTATTGTTTTCCTTTTCGTGATATGATAGGAGAGGCAGAAAACTTTGATTTGTTTCTTTAAACGTAATTTTATCTATTAAACAATTAAGAATATTTAGGGAAGATCTTATAGAATGAATATCTTTTCTATAACATTTAAATATACAGAGTGTTCTTAATTAAAGTTCACATTTCAAATATATATAATTCGGAAACTAATCAGAGTGACGACGTCATATTTTACACGGAGGCTTCTGTGGTGATGGAATTTTATTTGAAAACATAAGAACAGTTAGTTACAAAAATGTGCGATAGGGCGATAACTGGCGCTGCGATACCGTAGCAGATATTTTCATAGTTTTGAATAGATGTTTCTCTAATATTGCGTGATAGAAAAATAGAGTCAATTATCCCCGAACTGTCTGCAAGATTCCCTCAAATTAAGGAATTTTATCGAAAAAAATCCTCGCAATAATACCGAATTTTCACGTAATGATTCCTTTCCTGTATTTCATACTTTGAAAATTCTGTAAGATATTTAACATTGTATAAACTGGTTGGAAGAAGGAAAAACATACGTAGAACTGTATTTTCACTTTATATTATTTTATTTTAAAATCTTAATACGATCGTCGCACTTTTTTCTTTCACTTATTTACGTAACTTATGATGATGATAATATTAGCGAGGTTGCGGCCGAAGTTTTCATCTCTAAAACGTGAACGTCGAACGTCGAGCGCTGCTTACAAGATAGCAGCGCTCGACGTTCGACGTTCACGTTTTAGAGATGAAAACTTCGGCCGCAACCTCGCTAATAAACCAAATACTCAGTGGCTCGTTAAAGCTACATGGTACCCAGGCGAATTTGAATTAGGAAGCTCTGTGAACGGTGTTGGCTTCAGACATTTTTCTTCAGAGAATTTATGGAGGAAATATTTTCTTATAAAAGATTGGGTTGATGACCTCAGACAATTGCCCTTTTCATACTCTCATCTTGGGTACATTCAGGATGGGATTTTATATTCTCTTTGCTCTGTTCTTTGTATGTATTAAAAATACTGTATATTTAATGACTTTATACTGTATATTTGAAAACTTTACAATTGTAAATTTCAATTAGAAATAACGAATGAATCAGTAACAGGAAAAAAAATACTAGAATAAAACTGGAATAAACAACAAAGTAAATAAACTAAAGAAGGAATATACTGAACACAAGGCATTTGAACTTTAAACGTAAGGTTAAACAGCATAAACAACGAACAGCTTCTGTTCGTTGTTTATGCAGTAATTAATATGTATGCAGTAATTAAATTGTATAAAAAAAAACTTAATTTAAAATACAAGAATTATATCCGTATTAAGGTTAACTGTACACAATAAAGCTTTCGTGCAAATTATCTGTATGATATAGGACTTACATGAGATAAGAGTAATCAACCGGTTGAGAGAGATCTATTAAATATGTTTATAGACATACTCATCGTTATCCACTTCAATTTTTCAGCATACTCTATAATTATAATGGAAAATTAATCTTATAAACTCAATATGTCATTCATCATTTTGATGTATCTAATTGAAAACTAAATTGTAACTTCCGTAAATATAGGAAATAAAGAGAAAATTTCACCAGTTTATTGGCTTTATGATTGAATTTATAAAGGGAGAGGAGAAAATTAATTTTGAACTAACAGGATTTTTGTATTATTTATCATTGTAATAAAAGTCTATGTAGTTTAAATGATGTGGAAACTAAAATTCTATCCGAATTCAGTCATATTAAACTGTTTTTCTCCATAAATTGGAAAGATATGATGCTAAACTTTTAATACAGTAGAGTCTCGAAAACTCGGCACTCGATAACCCGGCAGTCCGGATAACTCGGCCACACCCTGGCAGGGAAAAAAAATCCTTAGTTAATTAATTTTTATTATAGACAGCTTTATGCCTCATAAAGTATTTTCTGAGGTCTGTCTTATCAGGTAAATTACTGTACACAGTGTATTCATTAATTTTCATTTTCATGTAGTAAAGGCTCTATGCCTTCATAAAGGTCGTACTTTTCCTTTGTTTAAGGGTATTTGGGCAGTTTATTCTCTGTTGTATTCTCAAGCAAACAATACATACAAGTACAGTACAGTATTTTCTGAGGAAACACTCATACTTATTTTTTTTAATCCCATTCCCAATAACCCGGCATTTTCACAAACTCGGCCACCCTTCGGTCCACATTAGGCCGAGTTTTCGCGACTCTACTGTATTATAAAAAGAAAATCAGGAAACAAAAACTAGATGTGATTATTGAGGTCAAATTCACTACAATAGAGATGCATTAACGTGCCTCTTATCTGTCTACTCTCGGTTAGTAACATATGGTTGCTTCAATTATGCGTGACAGATTCGTTAAAATTACTATCATATAAATGAAGACAGGTTGGGAGATATCATAAAAAAGACCGTTTAAAATTGTTTAAATAAATAGGCCATACAACACTTGAAAGAATTAGACTACATATGGCATTTTACATGAGAGATTTTCAGTGGGTTAATGATTCAATTGTTGAATTGTTTTGCAGATTGTATAGAAATTGAATTAACATATATTGCTGAATACTTATTAATTTCAAAATACCTGAAAATAATATAATGACTAGCAAAGAATGGAACTGGAGATTGCTTTAAATGGTATAATTACACATACCAAACAGGTGAGCTTTGCAACTTCCTATCTATATTAAAATAATTTTTCTACTTTAATTTGCCTCAAATCTTATGAAAATCTATGAGAATTATGTTAAATATTTCATTACTCTAGTAGTATCTTTTTTAAGTAAACATTTAATTATTAATTAATCTATTAATATTTCTTATAAAATCATAAATGATTGATTTATTGTTAAATTTATTTCTCTTTAACCTAACAGGAGGTTTAAAAAGTCAATTTTTTTCCAGTACAAAGTCGATTCGAACAAAAGTACAAAGTACACTTATTGATCTAACCTTATTTTATGAAGGGTCATCCTTAAGTATAGCCAATTTCTTTTACAAATGAATAAAAATATGATTTTTTTCTGTATCTACCTTTATAAATTTTAAACACTTAATGACTTATGCCTTAATTTTATATTTAGAAATGATTAAGTTTTTCAGGAAATTTAGTTTCTTGGAAATTTCTTAGATTTCATCATCTAGTTTAAGTTGAGGACAAACAAACAGACTAATCATTTATGCTGATATTGTAGCCTTTGGTCTCCAAAATAATATATTTCATCATATATGTCTGAAAGATCAGAAACAAGTATTTGATAAGAAAATATTGTTGATGAGAGACTTAAAAATTTCTTGTTTATAAGGTCATAAACATATTTTATATTTATTTGACATTTAACATGTAATTCAGTGCAGTTCAAGATGCATAAAGAACAAAACAAGTCAATGTTTTTCAGTTTTGAAGAAAGTAATTCATTACTATTTATGTTTTTACATGTTAGTTTACTAAAAGAATTACATTTTTTGAAGAAAATCATACCAAAAATTAATTATTTTATGAATTATTTTAATTAAACATCAAAATTTAAAGCGAAAAGCAGAAATATAAACAATCTTTAAGTGTTTTAATGTTTAAATCATAATTTTAATATTTAATATACAGGGTGGCCCAGAAATCAGTTAACTATACTATGTTTTGATACAGAATTATGCCAAACACTTTGTAATTTATGTATTGAACAAGAATAATCTTCATTTTAAAGAATTGTTAAAAGCTGAACTAAAAAAAAAAGACAGAAATTTAGTCTTTACAATTGTTAATTGACTATTGGGCCAGCCTGTATTAACCAAAGAATATTAATTTAAAAATAAAAAAACAGTAAATCTTGTAAATGTAATGAACTTTATGTAAAAACTATATGAAATTGTATTTTATTAAGTTATAATTTAATTAAATTTGCAGTTTTTAGATTTTAATAGGATTCAAGTACTAAAATATTATCTAAATTCTGTAATTTGAAGCTTGTAAAGATAACTTTAATGACTTCTTAATGGTTGTGAATGATGTAAGATATCAAATTTTATAAAATTACAAAATATATTTATCTAAAAACACTTATCTTGAATAACTTGAGTTGTTGAAAGATAATAAATCTCATTAATTTATCTTTCCATAATAATATTATTTTAAACATATGATAATTGAATGTTTCAACAGTTTGCTTCATCATTTACTTAGTCAGCCATTGAGAAAGGATAGTGAAGGTTAAAAAAACATCTTGACCTTTTTTTAATGATGAATAAGTGTCATTAATAAGTTTCTTCTTAAAAAAACATTAAGAAAATTTATATTTTATCCAATAAAAAAAATTAAATTCTAGGAAACTCTCCTTGGCCTATTTGCTCAAATATGTTCTTAATTAAAAATGATTCTAAACAGGTTGCATTTTCAAAATTATTATCTCTAAGTATTGCTTTTGTTACAGAAACTTGCTGAATAATTCTTAGAATTTCACATGGGTTGTTTAAATATTCTTCCTTTTAAATTGCTGATATAATTTATATAATAACAAGACCAATGTTCTTGTTATTATATAAATTTTGTTAAAATTATAGAACTGATAGAGCAAGTGATATAGCAATATACACATATGAGGTGACACTAAAGGTTTAAATGCAATTTTTTTTCTGTGAAAAGTGAGTATAATTTCTGTGAAAAGTGAGTATAATTTAAAGAAACTTGAATATTTCAGTGCATATTGAATATTATACTGTAAGTATTGTAATTCCAGATTGGATTTTGATTTGTTGTGGCCCTAAGCTATAAAATACAATAGGCCCTCCATCAAATACATGTAAATATGCAAAGTCCTAAGTTGCGGATTGGTTAGCTTACATGAAAATCCAGTCCTGCGTTACTCAAATACTTCAGTGTGGAAAGAAGTAATCAAACTACTAGACTAAACTGTATTGAAATATTGAAACTACAATACTACTTTAGGATAAAGGTAGAGCAAGGTAAATTTTTCTAGCTTGCTCAATCTTACTAGTGTACACGAGCTCACCAGTAAGGCACATATACAAAATGTAGGTGTGCTAAATTATTTTACAGTTTATTACATATGCATTATTCTGCACATATGGTCTTTAAGTGAGTATGTAACCTTTGGACATACCACACCAGACAATACACCAGACATTTTATAAATAAAAATATGAGTCTTGCAAACATATGAAACATAATTATTATAATTAATACAATACTCAGAAAATAATTACACAAAAAAAATGATAAAAATTTCCTTAATTTATATTATTCTATTTAAAAATTGATAAAATAATTCCTGTAATATATACTTTTTTAAAATGATCAGGAAAACATTCTTTCATTATTTACTTTACTATTTACTAATAGAACTTATATATCATATATTTATATTAATTAAAAATACCTTAATTTTATTTTAAAATTTAATTAAAATTTAAGTTAAACAATAAAAAAATTAATATTAAATTTCTGTTGTTTTAGCAAGAAGTTTGCTAAGGAAAAAAAAAAAGAATAATAGACAAGGTTGCTACTTTTTTTCACTTGTTAATTGAGCATTAACTAATGTTAAACCGGATCTTGAAAATGATTTTAATGGTCCATATAACATTTAAAAAATGCATTTAAAAAAAGTATGCAGTTATTTGAAATGATATATAACATTAAAAGTGACTTTTAACATGATTTTGCAATACAATAATCCATAAAAAAAAAAAATATATATTAAAATAATAACCTCACAAAGTAATATAAAACTCAAATAAAATTAAATATTGTATAACAAAAGTGGAAAATTCAGCATTAAAATCTCCTTTTAATTTTAATTTAATTTAATTATCATTTTAAATTAATTTATTTAGATAATTATCAAAAGTTCTTTCATAATCATAACCTGTTATATCAATACAATTATCAAGTAACTGCATTTTTTTTATCAATTTGTATTATTAAAAGCTTTTACTTTTTTAAATTGGAAAAAAAACAAAAATTATAATTTAATTACAATTTTTTTAAGTTGTAGAATGTGTTTTTATAATTAAAAATTTTATATAATAATGTAAAGAATTTGTTACGCACGTAAAATTATTAAACAGAACAATATTTTCATAGTTCAGTGCGCTTTTGGAATAGTTTTCTTTGATCAATTGTAAATACCATTTAAAAAAAAAGATTTTAATTGTAATTAATGTATTTTATAAAAGAATATTTATTTAAATCGCACGTGTTTTAGAACATTTATTGTAATAATTTATCTACAATTTTACTTATTTTAAAAGTAATTAAAGTACGTTAAATCACTTTAAAAGAGTTAAAAAAAAACATTTTTTTTAATGCCCATAAATTTAATATTTTTGCTGGTATAATTATAAAAGTTAGGTATTAATTAAGTAATAAGAGCTCGCGAATTACTCACCTTGTCTGGACTTACTAATGCTACAGGTATTATGATGAAAAGTAGAACAAAACCAAGAATAACTTTCCATAATTTTAATATATTCCGCAATGTTTTACTTGCCATTTATACAATCTACACGCTGCTTCTCCCCTCAATAATACTAACTAACGATGTGTAGTATATATGACCGTGTGTGTATGTGTGTGTAACGTAACTTGAAAATGACGTCAAAAATCACATTCCCCTGTATAACGAATCATATATTTAAACTAGAATTTAAAATATATATATATGTGTGTTTGTATGTGTGACGTATTTTTTTTTTATTTTTTTATTTTTAACAGACCTTTACGTCATAAATTTATGCAACAAAATGTACTATGAAAATCATGTGAACGGTTGTTTGGTAACAGGTTTATTTTATTTATTTATTTATTTATTTATTATTTTCGTTTTTATATTATTAATTTAAATACATAATTGGTAATTTTTATAATGTATTTATTTATTTTATTAATTCATCCTGCTTCTGATATAGATTTAAATGGTAAATGAAGGACACTTTTACTGATAATTTACGTTTGTCATTGAGTGATGTATGCGTGAAATTTTAAGTTTTTGTGTAATTTTATCACTATAATTTTTGATAAAAATTCAATTTTAGTGCGTATTTTTTTTAGTTTTATAATATTTTAAGGGTGTCAGAGTTATAAATTTAAAAAAAAAAAAACAGAACAAGCCAAGGATATTTTACGATAGAATGTGAAGGTAATAACCAAAGAATAGAGCGGAATAAATACATATATATTAAAATNCCCGCGAAAAAAAAAAAAGTCAAAATTATGTGTGGTGTCATCTGTTACCAGAGTTTATTTAAATAAACATTTTATATTATTAATTATTATAAAATGGCATAAAACTTCATTTTGAGGATAGAGATGAGTTTTAAAAAAATTTACATGCTAATAACGAGTAAATTCATCATTCATTCCAACCCACTCGAGATACTACACATTACCTACTCTATCTACCCATCCCTTGAACCTATAATCATCAAACTTTAATGGCATCAATTCACCTAATACACAAACCTCCCTTCAAAATTTCAGAAATTTTCGACAAAAGGTACAAGAGTTATAACGCTTCATATAAATGAGGATGTTTGTTTGTTTGTTTGTTCACTATACACTCCTAGGCCGCTCTACCAATTGCTACGAAACACGCCGATTACTTTAATATAGTTCAAACTTAGACAATGTCTTACAGCCTACCTCAAAATATTTATTGTATTTCTATATATTAATCTATCGGCAAAAATTTAATTTATAATTTAAAATATATATTACAATGTATTCACTTAATTATTTGTGTTATTGTCCTTATTTTCCATTTATGTCTTTTAGGATTTATCGGTTTGGCCCAAGACAAAACTGATATTAAAAATCCATTAGAATATGGCCTGATACGAAACAATATTAAAGTATTATTATATTTATAGCTTATGAGAAAATAATTAGAACAGTTGACAAGACGACAGTGTAATTTATATCTTAGATACCTAAATTATTCCCTTTGTCCTCTTCTCTCATAAGTAATTATACGTAATTTTTACTTATGAAGAACTGAAAGTTTAGACTATATTGTGTATAGTCATGAATTAATTTTACTTATACTTTTGTGTTAAATATTTTTCTCCTCTCAAATTTTAGCCTGTCCTTTACAGAGATTCAAATATATTTCCTATGAAAATTACACCCATTTTAAATATACTTCCTGTTTATATTGCATCCTTTATAACGTATTTCCTGTATAAATTGTGCCCGTATACGGTGTATTTTCTATACAAAACTTTTCCATTTGTAACGTATTCTCTATTTAAAATTGCACTCGCTTCTAACGTATTCTCTCTGTAAATTAACACTCGTTTATAATATAGGGGAGATCGGGGCAACTTCGGCATGCGGGGCAAGGTTGTCAACCGCTTTTTTTAAAAAACAAATTAAAAGGAGACTTTGGTTATAGGTTAGGCAGTTGAGTTTTATTGGTGGCTTGTTGAGTGTAGTGTTTTTATTGTTCTGCAACAACTTGACCTCATGAAGATTTTGCAATGAATGCAACTTTGGACTTGGATCTTAAGATAATAATTTTATATTATTTATAATTTATGTACTGTACATGATGGTAAGAAAGTGTTGCATTAAATAATAGTTATAGAATTTTTATGGGTTTTTTTAGAAATTAATTTAAGGTTTTGTAGGTTTTTCTTAGTTCATGGCTAACTGGTAAATGATGAGATATCTATTAATAGTTGCAATTTTCTACGCAAGGTTTTGTCTAAAATGATCATAAATTGCATAATATATTGCAGAAAATGTCTTCTATTAAGTCAAGTACGTTACCGGGAAACAAAGAAAAGCTCATTTGAATACAGTAAACTCACGATTTTTACTCATTTGAATACAGTAACTCACGATATCTCATTAGTTAGTATTTTAATTCTTTCCATCCTGTGGCACCAAGAGGGCCTTTTTTAATCATATCTATCACAAGTTCGTCCAGGCCCAGTGATAAGTGATGATGCACAATGCTTTCGACAGAGATCAGGAAAAATTCCCATGGTTTCTTATTCTAACTCATACCCGAGCTTACAAAGCCAAAATTATGTGTTGCAGGGATACCAAACGCATCTTAACTAGTTTACTTTGGTACTGTACCGAAGTAAAGTTAAGGTACCAAACTAGTTAAGATGCGATCCTCAACAAAAAACCCAATAATTACTTTATTAATCATTACAATGACTAATTTGGCATATATTTAGAGGATATACCAACTGTTTAAGTACAAATCACAGTTTATTATTTGTTTAGATTATGTAAAATCTATTTAAACAAAACCTATAGATAATTTTACACTCTCAATAACTGATTTCTAAAAGTTTCCCGAAAATAGTCACTCTAACAATAATGGGATGAAAAAAAAAACCTAAGTCATGGTTAAAACGAAAACTTAGCAGAAATAATTGAAGTTTTGCTTATCAGATATATACACAGAAAATATTTTAAAATATCATTACACATCACCCATGAAATCTGGAAAATCGATTGTGCTTTTTAGATTTCCGAGATGATATGCAATCATTGTGTTCTCAGAAACAAACACTGTCGACAATATCTTGATAATAGCAATTGTATAATGTAGTTAGTTGGATGTTCGACAATTATTTTCACTAGAAATACTTTCATAACACCCGGTTTCCTGAACTCGTTCATAGAAGATACAATTTCTGATTTGTACAAACCGAGAAAAACACATAATACAGTATTAGGAAAATGGCACACACTACAGCATTGTGTCGTAAAGCCAATGGTATTTTTGTTATTTGCTTTGTAATTTATTTATATTAGTATAAAGAAGTGCTATGTCACCATTACTATACATCATCAGTCTGTTCTTTCCTTGCTTATCTAAACAGAAATAAATGTTTTGTTTATTGTAAATACGTGATAAAATATATCAATGGAGTTGCTACGTAATACCTCTAAGCAATATTATAATTCGAATCGTCACAGATTCGCATTCCCATCATTTAACTTGTGGGTTAAATACTTTAATTTTACAATAATGGGATTTCATGGTGAAGTTTCTCAGTTTTCTTCACGTGTCTAATACCTAAATAGAAATAGAATCCATAATGGGCTTGCTAAAAGAGTCCCTCTTAGTGCCAATAGGGTGGAAAGAGTTGAAAAAAAAACACCGAAATAGGGACAAGGTTCTCACAGAAGGTCGTCTCGGAAGGCATCCCTTTTGGCACATCGCCTTCGCGTTGCGTTGCATATCCTATCAAACCAATCATCGTAAGTTGTCTGAAGAATAAAATGAATTCAGTAAAAATTAATACAAAAGTAAAATGTATTTCGGCAATTCTCTAGAAATTTAAAACGAATTTCCTGTTTATTTCATATCTATAAAAACTTCAGCACTTTCCCGGCAAAAAAAAAAAAGTCAAAATTATGTGTGGTGTCATCTGTTACCAGAGTTTATTTAAATAAACATTTTATATTATTAATTATTATAAAATGGCATAAAACTTCATTTTGAGGATAGAGATGAGTTTTAAAAAAATTTACATGCTAATAACGAGTAAATTCATCATTCATTCCAACCCACTCGAGATACTACACATTACCTACTCTATCTACCCATCCCTTGAACCTATAATCATCAAACTTTAATGGCATCAATTCACCTAATACACAAACCTCCCTTCAAAATTTCAGAAATTTTCGACAAAAGGTACAAGAGTTATAACGCTTCATATAAATGAGGATGTTTGTTTGTTTGTTTGTTCACTATACACTCCTAGGCCGCTCTACCAATTGCTACGAAACACGCCGATTACTTTAATATAGTTCAAACTTAGACAATGTCTTACAGCCTACCTCAAAATATTTATTGTATTTCTATATATTAATCTATCGGCAAAAATTTAATTTATAATTTAAAATATATATTACAATGTATTCACTTAATTATTTGTGTTATTGTCCTTATTTTCCATTTATGTCTTTTAGGATTTATCGGTTTGGCCCAAGACAAAACTGATATTAAAAATCCATTAGAATATGGCCTGATACGAAACAATATTAAAGTATTATTATATTTATAGCTTATGAGAAAATAATTAGAACAGTTGACAAGACGACAGTGTAATTTATATCTTAGATACCTAAATTATTCCCTTTGTCCTCTTCTCTCATAAGTAATTATACGTAATTTTTACTTATGAAGAACTGAAAGTTTAGACTATATTGTGTATAGTCATGAATTAATTTTACTTATACTTTTGTGTTAAATATTTTTCTCCTCTCAAATTTTAGCCTATCCTTTACAGAGATTCAAATATATTTCCTATGAAAATTACACCCATTTTAAATATACTTCCTGTTTATATTGCATCCTTTATAACGTATTTCCTGTATAAATTGTGCCCGTATACGGTGTATTTTCTATACAAAACTTTTCCATTTGTAACGTATTCTCTATTTAAAATTGCACTCGCTTCTAACGTATTCTCTCTGTAAATTAACACTCGTTTATAATATAGGGGAGATCGGGGCAACTTCGGCATGCGGGGCAAGTTTGTCAAGCGCTTTTTTTAAAAAACAAATTAAAAGGAGACTTTGGTTATAGGTTAGGCAGTTGAGTTTTATTGGTGGCTTGTTGAGTGTAGTGTTTTTATTGTTCTCCAACAAGCGTAGTTGAATTATCAAGCAAATTTTCATTTTCGTTCAATTCCATATAATATTTTTTTTCCATTTATATTGAATTGGCAGGTTTTGTTATAATTCCATGATAACGAAAGTTACTTTTCCTGTTAGAAGGATGTAACTTCAACTTATTCACGTGGCCAGATCGTGGCTTGGCATTCTGTTCTCAGGGTTGTACTTAATGTTTCGAAATCATGACTAGCGGGGTAAGATCGGCAACATAAAGCCACATTAGAAGCAAAGGATAAAAATCAAACAGATGATAAATGAAAACATGTTTGCATTTGTTATTCATGTATATATGTCTTTGAACTTGCATTTCGTTGTAATAATATTAAATGGGTGTTGGATTTGTATTTCTTTGTTTTAATAGTGAATTCCAACTTATACATTGTTAATAACATAATTTTATATACGTGCCTATCTTGCCCCATTACTGTTGCCCCTATACCAGGGGCAACTTTAATAAAAATAATTAAAATAATTACAACTTTACAAAAAGAGAGAAGTTGCCGATCTTGCCCCTATACCCGGGGCAACTTCGTCAATTTCTCTCTTCTTGTAAAGTTGTAATTATTTTAATTATTTTTATTTCCAAACTGATTTTAACCAGTTCTATAGTAAGGTAACATTCCAATAGACAATATGCAAAGCTTTTTTTTCAGTTTACAGCAGTATTTATTACACAAAATTTAAGTAAAGCTTAACATGCCGATCTTGCCCCGATCTCCCCTATTTCCTATGTAAACTATTATATTTTTAAATTACACTTTATCTATGCAAAAGAACAAAGCACTCAACCCATAATTTGAAGATTATAGAACAAATCTAGGCATTATTCATACGACAGGTATTTACTTTTTTAAATTTCTACTGTTTTCCCCTTGGAAATTCTTAACAACAGCAGAAAATAATGCTGAAATGCCTTCTAAGAACGAAAAACTATCGAAATAATGATGTTTTCTACTCACTTCCTTATTATGAAGACAAAAAGAAATATAAAAAAAGAAAATTAATTGTTTGGTGTTGAACTTCCCAACCTTTTGCAGTAATCAACCTTCTTTATGGTTAGTGAACCCAGTTTGAGTTCGCGAACTACCGGTTGGGAAGTAAAAGTGCCGATTCGTTATATCACATTATGAGTATAGTCAATTAATTTGAAGTGTGTAAACAGCGTTAAAATTGAATAAATTTACGTGATAAAGTGTGTTATTATATTCGTAAGTGCCCATACTTTCATTTAATATCGAATGACATATCCTCGTTACGTTTCAGGGTTAATACCTTTAATAATCCGTCACCAGTGTCGGAAATGGAGCAACGATCGTTTCGTAAGCTTGGAAAATGAAAACAAATAACATTAAATAATCGTCACGTTTATCCACTATTTATGTGGAAATGTATTCAGCGAAAAAAAAAATGCATCTGTCTTCATACGTAACAACTGAGTTTTCGTACGTAACAATTCAATTTTCGTGTGTAAAAGGGGATATTTTTTATTTATTTAATATCCATAAATTTAAAAAACGCATTTGTATGTACAGTATATAAAAAGTGAATTTTTATACGTAACAAGTGAATTTCTACACGTAATAAATGAATTTTCACCTGTAAAAAGTGAATTTCCTTACATAACAAGCAAATTTTTATATAGAAAAATATGACTTTCGTGTTCATAAAATGATTTTCCACGAGTAATAAACAAAATTTCCGCTTAGAAGAAATGATTTTTTACGTGTAACAAGAAGAATTATCCTTTCATTGTTACGAATTAAAACGATTATTAACACGAGAATAGAAACATTTAAGTAACAAGAATGGTGTTGGACTCCGTGTAAATTTATTACTTTCAATCGAAAAACATTCTAGAAAGGGGGTAAGGAATGAACAATTTGACAAATAGTTAAGTCAAGGTCGACTTTTGTAGTAAAATAGAATTTCCTTGAACTCGATTAAATGTCGTCATACTGTAGTTTTAGATTATCTATTGTTATGTAGGTCTTGCGTGTTCTTTCAACATTATGATAATTAATAATTTATAGTGTTATATTTGTTATTTTTAACACTTTAAACTATTGTTTTAAACCCAGTTCCACACACTACAACTGTTAATGATACTTTTTAATTTTATTAATTATTGATTACTACAGTTTAAATATGTTTACAAAGGTATGTCTATCTGTCTGGATTTCATAAACGGTAGGTGTTTAATTAATAGATTTGTTTACTAGAAGGGGGAGTATAAGTACATTTAGACGAATTAAGGCTACCTACAGACCTCCAAATATCATTGAAACTGGCAATAATAGGTAGATTAGTGAGTTTATCTACCTGTGTGCCTGTTCGTAGTGGAATAGATACCGTACAAACTTATTTATATATAGTCTAAGAAGGAGATTCTACGTAAATATATTTTACATTTCCTCTTTGTTCGTCTAGAAATATAGAATAAATTTAAATATATTATACATTTCTAAAGGAAGGCAACAGACAGACAAACTCACTCACCTATTTATTTATTCCGTTACGAAGAATAACGAGTTTATGTGCCTCTCCCATAGAATATATTTAAGCAATTAAATTCATACGTACTGTACGTCTGTGTGTCTGTCGTTAAACAATAATTACACATTACTAACTTTTAGATTAATTTTTAATTTTTATTAATTAATTTAGCATATTAATAGATTTTAATTATAATTTTTAAAAATTTAAATCACATTTTTTTACAGAATTAAACCGATAAATCGGGTGTAGGAAGAGAAAAATTTCTACCGCCATCTGTTAGCGGAATGGGAAGCGAATTTAGATCGAATATAAAATTCGCGTATAGATATATACTGGATAAGGTTATAAATATGGAAACACATTTAATAATGAAGCCTATGAACACCTGCAAAAAAGAAAATTAAATTTAATTACGGCACATTTTATGTAAATGAGGAATAAATGGGCTTACCATATCCTTGATTTTAATTTCTGCATGCGAGCAAATTATGGCGTTAGATGATGACGAGATGGGAAACATAAATGCTAAAGAGCATAAAATGGCTACCGGGATAGACATCATCGACGGGTTTAAACCAAGATTCATTGCCTAAATATCATAAAAATTGTAGATTAAAATTTACTTTTTTTAGTATTTTAATTTAATAAATGAAATAGCTATTTAGTTTCTTGTGGTTACTCGTGGATCCAAGTGTGGCTCTGCACGTATTTCAATATGTGTACGGATCTACGAATGCATCGTTTTAGTATTTTGTTAAATTAGTTAAATAATTTAAAATAATCAATTGCTTTTAAAATTGAGTGTGAAATCCATAAAACAGAGTCTGAAATCTAAAAACAGAGCCAGAAATCCATAAAACAGAATCTGAAATCTAAAAACAGAGCCAGAAATCCTTTAAACAGAGCCTGAAATCCATAAAACAACGTAAACTTCATAAAATTAACTCTTTACACAACAGCATATGAGAATTTCATCTTAATTATTGAGGAATTCTTATCTGTTTTATTAAAATATTTTGCAATCTTTACAATTAAAATTCTTCCAACGTTTTCATTAAAAAAAATATTTAATAACTTTTTACATAAATTTTCGTCATTACCCGAATACTTTAACCTCACTTCGTTTATCTGCCATTTTATAGTGACCTTCACCAAAGTAAAGGTTATTAAAATGATGTCAGTAGGTTTATCGAATAATTTTAATTATTCACATAAATCATTCGAAAAAAAATTAATTTATTTTTGTATAATATCAATATCAATTATAGAAAATTTATTTTTAAAAATTTACATAAATTCGTACTTTGTCGTTTTATCTTGCATCTAACAGGTTACTGCTATATAACTGAATATCTTAACCTTAAGGTAAGCAATTAAGATGCATGCAACACTCTCGACAGACAACCAGTTACATGGCTGAGCGATAAAGGTTTTCCTTTCTAGGAACTGATATAAAACCATGGTTAACTGAAATATTCAAGAATAAGTTCGTCCGAATGCAGGGTCTTGCTCCTTCATTTTGAGCTTGACCGAACTTACATGCATACATAAAATGCCCTTTTAGTGCCCTTAAAGTAGATATATTTAGATTTTAAATACGATTTTCTATGGCATTAAAATTTGGATACTGATGATGATGAGCGCAAAGACATAATCCTACTTTTTTTTTTAAGATTTAAATTGATGACATTCGGTTACTATCAGATTTAAGCTTGTGGCCTTCGGCTATGTTGCATAAAAGGCTCCTGTTTCTCTTCTAAATAATAATAAATTTACAAGCGTGATATCTGTACTTATATTATATGCAAGACCTTAAAGTTAGCGATAATCAAAGTCACTTTGTGCGATATTCTGTGAGTGGAAAGTAATTAGGCATTGAAAAATTGCTATAATTTTTGTAATAATAATAATAATAATGCGATTGTAATAAAATTTGTGACCATTTATATCAATTAATAGAATTTTAGAATTCTTGCATCGGTGACGAAAAGCAGCGACAGAGAAAGGCCGTGTGCATAGTGACAATAAAGATGGCCGATCACTTGTCTGTTCGGGAGCGAGCGCAGATTACTGCACGCTATGAGGTGTGAAAATCAGTGATTGCTATGCAGAGATGGTGGCGTACGGTGGAGGACGTCATGCCACAATTCGTTTAGAAACAAGAATTGCCATTCGAAGCTAATGACCACAGGTTCGGTTGAGGGCGCACAGATAAGCCATCATCCATCCACATCAGGATCACCGGAAGTTTGAAGAAATTGGCCTTTAAATTGAATTTTAACATATACATCCGTATTTCCATTTAACGAGGTACACATAAAATAATTTTTATCGTCTTTGCATTAGAACTATAGAAAATACAACAATTTCTCAATGCCTAGTTACTTTCCACTCATTCTCTACGTATTTGGCTCACTAGTGGTCAAGTGGTTCCGTTTCTCAAACACTGGGAGTTCGGTCGTGAGTTCGCGCCTCGCCAGAACGAGTTGGCAACATGGAATTTTCCGGGTTTTCTCCACGTCTGTAACGCCTGAATAGGGGCCAGTTACCCTTAAAAAGACATTCCCCTAGGTAGATCGCCCAAGTGTTGCGTTGCCATAACTTAATCAAATCAAATATGTACGTACTGTACCTCGTATTTACTTTCAGATCATTATTTTCAATTGTGAGTTCCGGATATTTTTCTATTATAAACAATTATTAAGGTATTATTTTAAAAAAATAATACGTACCGCTTGAGTTACAATAGGAATTATTATAGTGGCAGTTGCCGTATTACTCAAGATCTCCGTAAAAATTGATGCAAAGATGGAGAAGATCACCAAAATTGCACTTTTGGATAAATTATGAAAGGATGCTAAATGATGTCCAATCACTGCAGATAATCCTGAATCCTAAATTAAACAAAAGGATACAGTCCAAAAATTTACATTTGTTAGATTTATACACGGGGTTGCCCAAATACCAGTTAACGGATTCTGTTTTAATACAGCAGGTTGAGAAAGCGCGCCAAAGCCGTTGTAGTTGTATATTAGACAAGAAGGATGACATTTCGAGCACTTATAAATAATAAAGTATTTGAATAAGAAAGTAATTTATTCTTTAGAATGATTAACTAACTTTTGGACCACCCTGCGTTTTAGCATAAGATATCCATATATAATGATATCATTAAGTTACTCACATTAATGGCACCCGCAATGGCAAAACCACCTCCACGAAGCAAGAGGACACCCCATTGCAATTTACTTTCTACAAGCTTCCACTTAACAGAAGAGAAACCATTTTTACTTTTATATGGAAGAATAAAAAGAAGTATGGCCACGAAAACGCAAACACTTGTATCGCTTGATTTCCTAAAAGAGTATTTACTTTTCTTGAATATTTCATAATTAAATTTTGCAATGATTTCAAGTTTGCCATACTTACGAGTATGGGAATAACGTACTCCATCCTTTTATGTAATTCGGATTACGAAAAATCCATAAGATCATCATTAAGAATAGCATTACCATTACTAAAATCTCGTTGTATCTATAATATTTTCCTTTAAAAGTTAATTTATGGCAATTTATGAAAATGGTAAAATAGTGAACTTACTTCAGGGATCCTAATTCTTTATACTTTTGGTCAATTATAATAGTTGATATATTTATTTTCTTAAGCTTTAATTTCTTCCTAAAATTATGTAAATAATAGCAAAAACTTAATTATAAATTGTATAAAATATTTCTATATAAAATGTTTCTCACGCATAACCGTAATGAAAAGATTTGATGCTTATTAAAAATCAGTGCACTGTTATGCAAATTTTCTTGAAACTACAAATTGAGTTCAATGTAAAGAGTCATTTTTAATAAAAATAATTGATTTTTTAACATTTTAAATTTAAGAAAATTGCTTGAAACAGTACAATTTTGCGATTCAGAATGTTGAACTTCCATTGCTTCTTGTATCATCCATAGATTCAAATTCGAAAACTTTCAGAATTATCATAAATTAAATAAATAATTCTAAACTTTTATGAAAGAATAGGCTGTTTTTTACTTACAAGCAACATAAGCATGCACAAAATATGCTCCAAGTTGATATAATAAGCAGCAAACTGAGTGGCACTCCATATAATAACCAAGTACCATAAGTTATCGTCACTGATTTGTAAAGTCTGCATACAAATATTACAAAATTATAAATAAATTATTATTATTATTATTATTATTATATACTGTAATACACAAAGAAACTTACTCTTCCAATACAAATTTCAGGACTAGATTAGGTCCTGCGCCCGTTAATGTTGCTAAGCTTCCTATATTTGCTGCATACGCTACACTCAAATAAATATATTTTCGAAGTTTTTCAACTTCCAAAAAATATTTTCCTTCTCCCATTTTGATACTAAAAAGAAACAAATTTTAATATTTTTAAATAAAAAAAAAATTCTACGAATGTGAACTCACGTCATCTTGTCAGATTTTGATTTTGAATTCTTGTTTTCAGGTTCTAAATAATAAAAACAATGCAAAAATTTTATATTTATATGAAGGAATTTTACGAATTTGAAATTATTATCACCTGATAAATTATTTTCGTGTACAGTTTTCATCGATTCTGAGTAAATTTCATTGACAGCAACGTCTATGATTGGTATCATCATGGTCACTGCTACGTTAGATATGCATGCAGCAAGACATGATGTGGATAGCATAAATCCCAAAATTATCCTGATTTTATGATACAAATTCTTAATTAATTACTGTAAAAATTATTAAATTAATTAAGGATTAATTAGAGAAACGAAATATTACCATTTCGGATCGGACGAAAATCTCTTCAATATTGTTAGAGCAATTCTTTTGTGTATATTGCACTCTTCGGCAAAACTTGCAAATATCATGTTTCCAATAAATAACATGTTATTTTCCTGAAATATTATACATTTACATTATATTTAATCTTTAACAAAGGATACTAATGGTAATTTACCTCGAAGTAATATTGGCAGATTCTTTCTGTTGATATTACACCTAGAAGTGGGAATAGTACCACAGGAAGCAAGGATGTCACTGGAAGTTCTACTACTTCAGTAATCCAATAGGTTATCATTATTATAATTACATAAGCACATTTTGATTCCTGAAATATGATAAATTAGTGATCTGGAATTTATTAAATTATGATTGAATGGGACGAAGGATAGAGAAAAAGCATCGTTAACTAAATAATCAGGAAAAATAGATATAAAATTAAATATGACGCTTATTTTATAATAATTATATGTAAATAATACTTGTAGTTTAATACAAATCCTGAAAACTTATTTTTTGGAATGTACATTAAAAGGTTTCCAGAAAATATTATTAAAATGTCTATCCGAAGAAGTGTATAAGAAAGAAAAACAGCCAAATGTTCCCCAGAAAAGGTATCTCGCACTCTCGTGGGCATGCAACCGATGAGAGTGTGAAATAGTTTAGAGCCCCCATCAGTGGTCGTGTGGAACCGCTCCCAACTACCACTTGAACACCGGTAGTTTGGCACGTTTTTGTGCCTCATCAATGTGCCAGCCATGTAAAGTTTTCCAAATTTCCTTCACTATGTATAACACCTAAACAGAGGCCAGTTTTCTACAGAAAGTTCGTCTGAGAGGTGTTCCCACTTGGTAGATTTGGTTTGGTTTCCTCCTGGAAGGGCTTTCATGGGAAAACTGGCCCCTATTTAAGTGATACTAACGTGAAGAAAACTCCACGTGGCCAGTCAGTTGGCGAAGCGCGAACCCTCGACGAACTAGCCGCATTCAGTGGTTTTATCTACTCGTCCACTGGTGGATCCCCTCTCGGTACATCACTCACGTGTTGCATTGCCATCAAACCAAACTCAAGTAAAAAACCATTAGCAGAGGATGTAATTTACAGAAAGGTAGTACATGCAAAAATTCAAAATTAAACTTACTTTTGTGTTTATTGTGATGATCAATGGTAAAAGTAGAATTGGAGTTATGGATATAACTATAATTTTCCAAAATCCGTATAAATAGTGCTTCATATCCACTTAGCCAATCTGAAAAAGCATATAGAGAATTGTTAGTAAGTGATCCCTTTTTCAATTGCTTAATTATTTAAATATGTTAAGATTTATTAGAAATGTTAAATACCAGAGCTGAATATATGAGCTTGCTTAATTTGACTTCTTTTGAATTAAAGACACGGTGGAGTGCACTTATATACTTCATTCTTACACCCATTATAATAGGAGCGGCCCTGAAATTTCATAGAATTAATTTTTAAAAACTTTTTTTTAAAGAAATAATGAACAGCAAGACGTTTCTTCAAGATTTTTTTTTTTTGGAGAAACGTCTGGTTGTTTATTATTTCTGTAAAAACATTTTGCAGTGTAAAATTGAATTAATGTTTAAATGGAATTTGGTCATATTGGATTTCCAAAAGTATATCATCTATATAATAGTTTTAAATTTCTAAAAAGTAGCAAAATTTAATATAAAGATTAAGTACGTTTATCCAATGAATAAAACACAATTAAACTTTTATTTTTACATCTTAACGGTTTCTTGGATACTCGTCGTAAAGCGAACCATCGGAATTCTTATTGATTAACTGCCACAAATAACGTTACACTATATACATACGAACTACGTATCATCACACTAAGATAATAGAAAGCTCCCGTGCGATTTAAATAAGCATTTTGTATAATAATTGTTGAAAATTAATACCAGTCGTAAAACTTGGGATTGTGAAGCAAGAGATCGTAAAGCGAGTATCTGGTATAAAATTGAAAATGTATTTATTTTTGTATAGCTGAATTAAATAAGTATGTTGTCAGCTTATTTTTACAGACATAATCTGTAATTTTCAATGTTAAATTAACCATTTTTTTAACATTTTTTTTTTCTGAAAAGTAACAGGAAACGATCTGCTCTATCTAATTATATAGCATTTATGGTTACCAAGGTTATCTTCTAAAGTAAAATTTACAATATAATTATTTTTATTTGCCAAGCTGAAAATATCTTATTTGTTGATTCATAGAGTTTTAAACGTTAACAGCAAAAACATTTCATTTAATTAATTTTTATTGTGTTATTAACAGAATACAGATAACAATTTTACTAGTGTACATTCAAAAATGCATGTTGTTTGCACATTTAAAGGCCATGATTAGATGAAGAAATAGATGTTTGATCAACTTCAGCATAGAAATATGTAAAAACTTCATAAGAAATGGAAATTTACAGTAATTTTAAGTATAAAGTTACATAAATATAGATAGGACTGTGTTTACGCGAGCTTCAGCTTAGGGCCTCGTTGTTATAAGTCTATATCTTAGAGCTTCATATTTTTAAATGTATCATTATTTGGGAGAGAAGAAGAACCTGTTACATGTATACCGGTAGATTTCACTTAAAATGCTCAAGTTTAATAACAGATATTGGGTTGCTGAAGAAGATTGTTCTCATTGCTTCCAACTAAATGACAGTTTCTGTATGAATCTCTTTCTGCTCCCTTCTTGTAAAGATCTCAGTTCATGGGTATATTTTATGAACTACAAGATCTATAAACAGTAGTAAACATAATAAAAATTTCTGCAATTTAAAGATTTGTACTGTATGTAACAGTAACTTAAGGAAACGGACATTATTGTAGAAAACTTTACCATCTACAAACAAAGCAGTATAGCCAATAGGTTCTTCACCTGTCTGAAATTTTTTTAGAAAAAATAGTATCATGGAAATGAAATAACGATTACAGTAAATAAAAGAGAGAATAATTATTTTCTTTCCAGTTAATGTATATACAAATCAACAGATGGAGACACTCACCTGCTTCCATTTTGCATTTATGGTTTACATTTTCCTGTATTTTCCAGGCAAAACTATACGTAGTCCAATTTCTTTTATATTTTATTTTAAATATTCAAAATAATAATTTAGAATTGTAATATACAGATAATAAAGCATTTTAAACATTTTTGGTATATTAAAAATAGTGTTCGTTTTAAGTCCTACACATAAACACAACTTGATAAATGCGGTTCCTATTATGGCGTACTTGATTGCTAATGTCTAGGTCATAGCAAGAACTCTTAATTAACTTTATTTCATTAATTTAGAAACATCCCTCGTATTTCATTTGTTCGAAAAAAATACAGAAAAGGTTAGAGGCCCGCTCTACCTCTTGGTCACACATAAGCTTTAAACAGCCCTTTTATCAGTACAGTCTGCCAGACGTCCCAGTTTGAGGCAATTTGCCAAAAATTAATGTAAATTAATTGAAAATACAGAAGAACAACTTTCGAAAGCACTCTAAACCAAGAGAGGTGGCTGTAGCATGGCTTGAATTTGACGTCCAGGGCTTGCACTGTGGCTGCACTACTGTCAGTTTCCTCTTCCTATCCCACCCCTATCACGTTCCACTTCTGTCAAATAAGAGCAAAGACAAGATGCTATGTGCCTTGATCAGTTAGTGGCTAACTTTTAAATCTAAATGTGCTGCAAGTATATAAAATTATCAATTAAATCTTTAAACCGAGAGACAGAATGTAGATTACGTGCCATAGATAAAACTTAGATTCTGATTGGCTGTGTGGCATTTTTTATGCTTATTCTTTATGCTTAACCCAATATGCCAAATGTTCTTTATGCAAAACGATTAAAAGTTGTATTAATTGCTTTGAATAATAAATTTTCAATAGTTATTTCTGTGTAGGCACTTAGATTATAGTTATAGCTGATAAAGTAAACGATTTGTGGTTTACTAGCAGCAAAGATTTGAAATATATTCGATTGAAATAGAGACTTTTCTTTTGATACGGCTGATTTTGATGTTCATTTGAAAAGGTAATACAAATTTCGTAATAAAAGTGTCAAATTTTTATTTGTTTTTAGGTTAATTTATAAAATATATACTTAAATCCTCTAGTAAAAAATATTTCATAATAATCTTGTATAAAATGTAATAGCAAAGCAAATACTTAGAAAAGTTGAATCCGCGAACAACTACCAATGTTCAGTGATTTTATTCATCCTGTGTCCCCATTTGAATGCCGGTAACATACTGTATCGGTAAAAGGGTGTCGATGCGAGGTTTTAATGGTGTAGTGTTGTATTAGGAGAAGCCATGGTGTTTGTTTATCTTAATCGTCTTTATCCATTTGAAATATAACAGAAAATGAAGATTACTAACCTATCAAAGGGTTGGGGTAACGGGAATACACGTGAAAATCGGTTCGAGTTAAAAGCAAATTCGATTTAACAAGATCATACTATACATAAAACCCTATATACTCTGCCCAGGACCTGTTGACAGTTTCGACTTAACGCAGTTCAAATAAGTGAGGTTTTAATACTATAGTATTCATTAATTTATTACAGGTTATCTCAAGCTGGTAGTTGATTTCGGCTCCATTTTCGGTCGATTGAAATGTAATGACTATTTAAAACGTATAAATCAATTTTTATAGGGGTGTTTTCATCAGTCGGTTAATGAAAAGTTGGCATGGATATCGTACTAAATCAGTATCGGTCTGACAACAAATTTTTCCCTCGGAATATGAACCAAATGCGGGCCCATATCCTATAGTATCGGGTGGCGAATCTTTTTGAGTCCGCGTAGCGTCGGGAAGGTATCTAGTTACATAACTAGAAGAGATATTAGAAGGGATCCTAAATTAGGAGAAAAACATACATTCACCCCTATACCACTGTGGTACAATCACTAGCGTTGTAGATTAAAAATAAATTCTAAACTCATATATTGTATACACATGGTTATAAGTGCATTTGTCATATTCAAATCTTTCCTGTACTTATTTTCTTTCCATTTATTTATTTACAAAGGTAAGATTTATCGGGCATGTCTGCTAGTTATTAATAAAAATATAAAATTTTCAAATGTCTTTGTTGTTTCAATATTCAGTATGAAACGATTCCTAGTAGTTCCGATTCCGGAACGGTTCCAGTCCATAAATTTCCATATCTATAACTGTTTATCTTCAGGAAACTTAAAACGCTATTGATTCAGTTCTATTAAAAACTACAATGATACTGAAAATGAACCATATTGGAAGCTAGGTCATAATAGCGCCAAGGCTGAATACTGTTTTACAATATTTCATTAACTTTATCTCTAAATACTGCCTATTCTTTTTAATTTAAACATGTTTAGTTCCCTAAATCTCTTATATCCAAAAATCAATGGACTTAAGAGCATTATGTATCAATTATTTTCATATTAAATACTACATTTACTAGTCAATAGATGGAGACATTACTAAAATTTTCATATTTCGTACATGTTGCCAACTTAACTATCAAATTTCCAAGTTGCTTTTAATGTAATTTTTAATTTATTTAGAAATATTTTCATCACTTTATTCTTTATGGAGTTAAACTTGTCTCATGTCTTAATTATCTTCTCAATGTCTTCATTTTTACCTTATGTTTCAATAAGATAAATTTCAAGACAGTCTCTTTTCTATAGAGTGAGTATATTTGTGATTTAATCTAAGCTTTCTCGTACAAGAACAAAGATATAAATGTTTTTTATACTTGAATTATTCAATTTAGAAGTATCAGAAAGCTTTTTCGAAAGTTTCAAATTAATCTATTATGTGACTTATTTTAGTAGAGTTAATTATAATATGCTAATTTCCTAATTACGTATTCCTTAGGATATGTAAAAAAATCTTCCATTAAAATTTCACATACAAATTACATGAAGACCCTTGATCCACATAATTGTAATGCATCTTAGAGCTTCTTGAATCTTGTAATTTCTTCAGTTATCATAGTAATTTCCGTCATTTTATTACAAACATTTTTATATTCCATTGAAACAATGGAAATCTCTTAAAATGCGTTCTTAAAAAAATGGTTTGTTGAGTGTGAAAGACAAACAAGAGCACAATCTACAATACAAAGTTTATTTTAAGACTTGACAGTGATCGACATTACAATGGACGGATACTGATTATTAGCACAATTATTAAAAAAAATAATAATAATCTACTCCAAACCTTTCTATGTACTTTTATGAAAATCATAACAGTAATCACTGCTCTTTACAAAAGAGCATCATCGAACACATGGACTTACAATAAAGTTGGTGCAAGACAATTGGACAATTTATAGTTAAGTCCAATTCCACGTATCTTAATTATTTTTGGCAAGTGTAAATGGAAAAAAAAAAAAATATCTTTTTTGACAACCGTTCCCGAAAATACATAGAAATAGCCCACAAATATAACAGTGTAAAAAAATACAGGCTTTAACTTTAAATTGTTAAAAAAAATTATTACGTCAAAAATTTCGACTAAACTTGAAAATCGTGTGGAACATAATCTACCCAATCGACAAACCTCTTTCTTACTTCTATTGATGGCTGTGTTTTTCTTTCTTCGCTCTCTGTAGTGGAAGTAACGTCAACTTTTGTTTCTTTTTCTTCTTCGGATTTTGGTGTCGATGGTGGTTCCTGTTTGGATTCACTCGATGCTTCTGTTGAATCTGTTGTAACTTCGTGACTTCTTCCTGCTTCTTGTTTATCTAAAGTTGAAGTTGGCAATTCGGTTACTTCTTCTTTGACAGCTGGTGCTGTTTCTGCTTTTAATGGTTGCTCTTTAGTACTGGCATCAGTGGATGGACGTTCTTCTTCTGATGGTCTATCAGTAACTTCTTTCTCTTTCGCTGATTCTTCATTCTGTCTATATAATACTGGTGTGGTGATTTCTTCTTCTTTTGGTTTTTCTTCATCTTGTTTTTTAACTTCAGCAGTTGTTGAACTTTCGACTTGTTCCGTTGTTGGCTTTTCTGTTTCAACGCGCTTTTCATTTGTATCCACATGAACTTCTTCATTTGATTCAGATGATGTTGCTGTTTCATCTTCGTCAGAACGTCCTTCCTTTTTCAAAGGAATCTGGGTACTAGGTTGTTCCGTTCCGACTTCTCCTTTGCTCTCTTCTGTATCAATTGGCTTCTCGGGTTCTTCTTTCGCTACTACTGGTTCTTCTTTGGCTACCACTGATTCTTCTTTGGCTATCTCTGGTTCTTCTTTGGGTTTTTCTGATTCTTCTGTTGATTTTTCGGGTTCTTCTGTTGATTGTTCAGATTGTTCTTTAGGTTTTTCCGGTTCTTCTTTGGGTTTTTCAGATTCTTCACTAGGCTTCACGGGTTCTTCTTCAGAAGGACCCGATGCATAAGATGGTGCTTTGGCAGTAGTAGTAATTTGTGAATCTGAAGATTCTTCTTTTGGGCTTGTTTCTTCCTCTTGCTGTTTAGGTTCTTCTTTAGTTGTCAGTTCAACGGATGGCTGTTTCGTTGTTACACCTGTTTCTGCTTCTGCGGTGCGCTCCTCGGGTTTAATATTGGGCTCAGCAGAGAGCACACTTACATTTTCTCCAACGGCTCCATCAGTCTGTTTAGCTTCATCTTCTGGAATCTTAGTGGACACTCTATCTTCAGAAACTTCTACAGGGAGAGATTTAACGGTAGTAGTTATGCTCAATAAATCACTCTCAGGTTCTTTGGTTTCGCTTACAACTGATGTAGATTCGGCTGCACCTTCTAAAGTATAAAATATGTTATAATTAAATATATGCATTTGTTAAAATTTTATCTTTAAATAATTTTTTAAATTTTTGTAAAAGATAATCTGAGTTGACTCGTTATTAGAGAGTAAGTGTATTATTGTTACAGATTCTTATTCATAATGAATGTATTGTGGAGTGAATCCTGTGAATAAATTATAAAATATATCAAATTTATTCAGTATTTATTCGAAAATATTTGATAGAAACATAAAACTACAGCACAAAAACAACAAAAATTAGACAGGTTATAACTACTTAGTCATAAGTAATTTTAAATCTTCAACAAAGTAAACTAATGTACAATTTTAAAAAGTTTGCAAAAATAATCATTAACTACAAAAGAATGAACCATCAAATGTTCTTAAACATTTACTCCTAATGAAAAATTGTATATCAAAGATAAATTTCCTTCACTCGTTATCCTTGACATCGATTAACATAAAAACAATTTGACAAAACTCATTATAGAAGGAAGCAAAAAAACATTTTTAAAATATTCCAAAGCATAAACATAAGAAATTATATAAATAATTATATGATTCTGTACGATTTTTCCGCGCATAAATCATATTCAATTAATTATAAAAATAAATGGAGTCAAAAAAGAGGATAATTGGAAAAGTTCCACACCGTGAAGAAGTGTCCAAAAATGGATCTGCTAGTAAAATATTTGTTTAAATGGCTTTTAAAATGTTAAAATAAGATTAGGATGTTCCTGTGTAGGAAAACCTGTTGGAAAGGGATGCTTCAGCATCCCTTTCCAACAGGTTTAAAGCGAATACTTCATATTAATTTGATGAGTGGTCCGTATTTTATTTTCACTTGTAAGTAATCAAAATCTGTAGTTAGTCATCTGACTTACCACATTGATAGGAACAGCATTCTCCTGGTGTCTTTACTCTCTGACAACCTTTCTTCTCTTCGCATTCAGTTAGAGTACAGGCAAAACCCGGAAGGCGACAAATACACATTTCACATGGATCACTACTGGGTACAGGATCTCCATTACTATACAGCACTCCATCCACAATGCAGGCTAACATCATGAACGACACGAAATTTCACTTTAGTCACTAACATCATAACACTCTATCCTTAAAATTTATTGCTTAATATACATAATAGGCCTACTACGTATTGCTTAACTTTATAACTCAAATTAAACTTCTTTTTTTTTCAGGTAAAAAAAAAATGTATTGTAAAATAGACAGAAATTTGTAACGAAGAATAGTCATTAAGAGTTAAAGATTCGGAGCTAATGACTTTTTGGAGTTAAAATTAGAACCTGCCGAGCCTGCATGTAGGTGCTGTATGAGTAGGAGATCGGCACTTACTATTGAACAAAACTAGTAATGACTATGATTATATGATGCACGATAAACAGGTTGAGCATACTTTCTAAAAATTCCCCCGTAAAAGACCAAAGTAAAATATGATATCCCTAAAATTATAACCATTCAAATAAAAAAATAACTGGAGCAGCTGAGGAAACAAGAATTAGACATTCTAAAAGGACTAGTTCTTGTTTACAAATCGAATAACTGATTAAAAGGTGTGATAAAAAAGTCAATTTTTCATAGATCTACAATTTAATTTATGTAGAAACCTCACTCGCTCGGCTAATATTAGAATGCCAACAAAACGCGCAAATATGCAAATGAGCTTACTATCCAACACATTTAAAGCATTAACCGCAACATATAATTATTTTTTTTTTAAATAAATTAAGCATCGTGAAGTTAATATGTTCTAAAAAAACTTCAATTTAACAGAGTAAATAAAACAAAATAATGTATTTAAAATTGAAGAAATAAACTTACCTGTTTCATTAGCGCTATAGATTTCTGCTCTTCTAAAACGATAAAGAGCTCCTAAAAATAAAAATAAATAAATCTTTTATAAAACTAAATAAAATAAATATAAAAGAAAATCAACAAAAATTTAGTACAAATTTTCTTATGTTTATTTAAAAATCATTCGTGCACATCGACTGCAATTGTAGAAAATAACGTTAATTTACTTTAACGATGTGTATTTCCCTTTAACAATAATTGGTAAGCAATTTACTTCACCAAATAATAAGAATAATTCTTCAAAAAAATTCCAATTTTTTCAAACTTAAATAGGTCAAGTAAGAGCATTTTTTTTTTCTCTCTCTTACGAAAAAAAAAATAAAATATTTAGATTTTTCTCTCTCTCTCATCAGTCTTTTAGAGCGTAACAAATCATTAATATAATTATTCGTGCGTAACTCTAAAAATACCTCTTTCTTATATTTAATTTATGTAGTAAGCGGTTAAGAGAAAGGTAGTGCGACCTTCTAAAAGTCGTGAAGGTCATGTTTGAGAGGGGAACGACACACACACACACACACACACAGTCGGATCAAACTCCAGCTTTAGTGTATAAGAACTAAACTTAAAATTTATACATTCAAGCTTAAAAAAATATATATATAAACTGGTTTATATATTTAAAAATAACGTTTATTAATCTCTAAAATAAATATAAATTTAATAATATTTTCGATTTACTTACTACTTTCAACGGGGGTGACGAAAATCCAAGTGCCAACGCACAGAACTGACAACAGCAGCTTCATTTCTAAATTAAATTTAAAACAAAAAAAAAATTATGTTATATTATTTCCTTATTTAAAATTTACATCTTGATGAAGAATGGTTTGTTATTTTAATAAATAATAAATAATTCTTGAAGGTTCTCGGCCACACCTTTTACATTTAAACATGTCAAGGTTTTTGGCGCTTCAAATTCAACAATAGCGTGTTTAAAAATTAAAAAAAATAAGTTGATTTTATTTCAAAATTAACTCTATTTTTTAATAGAATTATTAAAAATACCTTCTTATTTTTAAATAAAATTATATTTAAAATATTCAGGATGTAAGTAAGTCCTTACAGGTTTTTTTTTTTATTACTGTATTATTATTTATTTCTGTAACAGGAAGATCATTTCGTCTTCTTTTATTCAACTTTTTATCATTTAAAATCTAATTTATTATTCATCTCGTACGTCAAAGAAAAAGATAATAAATTCAAATTTAACTGGTCATAAACACTAATTTACTTTTTGTAAGTTGTTGGGGTTTTTTTTTCTTTTGATTCAGTCACGTGATATGGTCAAGATATCAACGACCTTGCATCACGTGATCGGAGGTCAAGTACCAAAGAAAGGGTCGACATATTAAATAATGCAGTAACGCTGCATACGGGGGGAGGTTAAAAGACTGACTAATGCAGGTATGCTGCATACATGGCGTCAATAGGAAAACTACAAACACATGGTTGAAATATTAACGTAATACAAGAACATTAAAAACACTATATAGGAGCAAAATATATGAAGTAACACTGTAAAATAAGCACAATATATCAAGTAATATAGGAGAAACACTACAGAAGAGAAGGAACATAAACTTAACATATTTCAAACTGGAATTTAAAATAATTTCCCCATTTATCCTATCAGATAGCCTATATTATGGATCATTTTTGCTTAATAGAGCTTTAATAATACCTCTAACGTACTCATTTTCATATTACTAAAATAGTTTTACCTATTTTTCAAACCAGATAAAAATGTATGTTATATATTTTTAACGTAAATGATATTATAAATTTTCAACAGGTTCTTAAACCTGTATTTTTTTATAAAAATTTCAATTATTATTCCAATCATGTAACATAATTGCAGTTACAGTTATGTAGTTATAGTAATACCTTACATAAAACATATAATAATAGTTATGTAAAGATAATATTATAAATACAAAAAAAAATTTCTCCAAAGGAGAAGGTCAAAATTGTCTATTTTACTACTAAACTTCTCCATAAAGGTTATTATATTATAGTGTAATAGTATATAGAAAATAAAATTTATACTTTTATGACTATTAATTTATATAAAAATCTACTAAAATAGAGGAAAATACTTTCCAGAATTGTAAGGGTAATTAGCTCATATTACTTAAAATTTTAAAGCTATTAAATGATATAATTAAGTAAAATATCATTAAAAAAATCCCCAAAAATGAAAGGACTTAGGGGAAAAATCTAAATCTCCTAGAAGTTTTGAAAATTTTATAGCAATTTAGCTTTAATAAAGTCATTATGTGTATGAATCACATTAAAAAAAATCCCTCAAACTGCGAAAAAATACAATATTTTCTCCCCCGATCCTTCAAAATATTAAAGTATTACATACACACTAGAATGAAGTGTAACGAACAATTGAACTTACCTGATAGTTCGCTTTCCTTTTCGAAAGTGAGAGGAAGATCGCCAGGTATATACTGTATGAGTGGGGTATACAGAGGACCCGGATGGTCGATAACTTTCCTACTAGTCGTAGTGGTGTGTGCTGTATATATAGACAAGAGCTCGTACAGAAAACCTGTTGTCTAGGCCTTTAACTGTAGTCGACCGCAGGGCACAAGATTGCTCGTTGGTGCTGCATAGACGTAGACAGTGCGCAATAGGCGGCCCACTTCTATAATTCTTTACAAGAGCTACACCTGATTCACTTAACTCGTATTCTCTGAACTGAAAAGCATCCAATGGCAACTCCCATTTATCTTTTGACAAAAGGCGTATATTAACTAAAAGAATTCGTTCTAAAAATCTTCCGAAAAAATAAAGAAAATTTTCTTTTTCTTTATTAAATAAATTTTCTTTAAAATAAATCTAAAAAATCATTAATTATTCATGAATTCTTCAGTTTAAAGTTTATGTATTTATATGCTAAACATACTTCATACACCCCTTCACTGGAACTACTAAACAAAGTCTTATGAATTAATTTATATAATTATACGCTTCTCGACTTTATAAATTATAAAATGTTATACTTTTTTTTTACTTTAAATTGTATAATTTAATATATATATATTTTTTTTTNTCGGATTCAAAGGCGATAGACGAATATTTTACACTTGCCACTTCGTAACGGAGTTTTGTTCGTAATTCGCTACATGCTTCATCGGTACAAAATTTTATCTCAGGTCTTCATTTAAATTAAAAATAGAATATTCTTTAGTGAATGACGTACGTTTTTTTTTATTTGAAACTTCATGATTTTAGGATACAATAATAAGATAAAAACTCCTACCAATCCATAGTATGTTTAAAATTTCACATTTGAATGTAAACCGTGTCACTTTCGTTTATCAAAATAGTATTTAACAATTCATTTTTATGCACAAATTTAATAATTAAAATAAATATTACCCGTAATAAACCCATATAATATCTATTTAAACACTATTCAAAATCATTAACAGCTCAGAGACAATTATATCTATCGGCTCTAATAGCATCAATGTCTCTTATTTTATTCTTAATTAATTCTTAATTATTATCCTATCCTGAGATATTAAACGAAATAGACGGTAACACATGAAATTCTTTGTCTTTCTTTTTTTACTTTTTTGGATTCAGGAGATCTCAAAACGTAGAGATTTGCAAAAAAAAAACCGATTTCAATACTTTCCTTTACTATACATAACAGCCAGGAAAGTAAAAGAAAATATATTACAGTACTGTATTTTATCTCAGACTTATTAATTCTTTATTTATTCGCGTAGAAATCTTGGAAGAATTTATAGTAGAAAGTAAAATTTCTCTCCTAGCATTAATTAAACGTGCAGATGACATTTTACTTTTCTATTTTTATTTACAGTAGACCCCCCCTATAACACCGTAGATAATTCCGTGTTATATGAATTCCATGTTGTACGAGTCACTTAGATTTTACAAATACGTGTGCCGGGCTGTGAACGGCTGATGTATTTGTAAAAGCTAAGAGACTCGTACAACATGGAATTTATATAACACGGAATTATCTACAGTGTTATACGGGGTCTACTGTATTTATCTCTCAATCCTATGAAACATTAAGAATTTCATAAGATTGATAATAATAATAATAATAATAATAATAATAATAATAATAATAATCGTTTCATGAGTTTTTATTAAATTTTTAAGCACATTTTATTGCCATAAAATTATACAATTATTATACAATAAAACTTTTAATATTGCTTTATACATTATTTCGTTTTATATGTTTTATATGAAAAATATATCGGATTTATTCTGTTCGTAAAAGGATTCATAAATACCATATTAATATATAAAACATCGCTTAGATGACAAGAATTTATAATATTTTTTTACAGAAAAATTCTTTCGAGTATTCAAAAAATTTCCTGTAACATCTTCGAGTATTTGAGTTATATATATATTTTTTTTTTTAAATAAAAATGTTTCTATGAAGTATCTAAAGAAGTGACTCCAAGTCATTACTTCCAATGCTTTATATTTTATAAAATAATTAAATTTATAAAATAATTTCTAAACTTTTATAAGGTAAATAAGTTTATAATTTATTCTAAAAAGTTATAAATAAATCTAAGACGATTTTAATATAAATTTTAGCAATTTTAGATGCATCTAGAGCTTAAGCTAAACGAGCTACTGCTTGGGTCCTCACGTTAAGTGGGCACAAATTAGGGCCTCATTGGTGGAGAAGGACCTCTCATAAGGTATATTTTAGGGTCACAACTAGTTTAAATCCGGTCTTGAGTGTATATTTTTGTACTGATCTCGTATAATGGACAATACTAAAAGTGGGCTGACAGAGATCCTTTCGTAAATACACAAAAAATTATATGAAAAATCTTTGTTTTGGGTCTTCTATTTTTAAAAAAAAAGCAACGGTAGTGAGTCACTAGCTATTAACTTTATATAAAATAAAGAAAACTGAATTGATATCCGCAATATTTCTACTAAATATTGACTCATTCACTCCTTTGTTTATCGAATTGACAGCTGTGTAACCTTTCGGATATTGCTTTTATAACTACAAAGAATATTCTTTACACATCCTATACTATGAATTATAAAATAGTCACTAGATTATTATTAAAAATAACGCATTCAACGTTAACAATTTTATATATTTCTCACTAAACTTCAACATAAACTGGGATGCAACTGCCCATCTCTATACTCACTTGAATGTATATCCTATCGTGTTTAAGTGGTGTTACACTCATTTATGAATAGTTTTTTTTAATGTAGTACATTGTATTCCTTCCGAAATAATGTTAGAATAGTAAAAAAACATAAAAATATGTTCTAATTTACATAATATTCACGTGTATAAGAGCACGTGTAACAATACTGATCGTATAGCTAACTGCTCAACACTCTGCAACTAACTATAATTACTTATTTAGAATGAATTATAGCATTGTTTTCTATGCTATTTTCAACATTTTTACTTCAAAATAATATACAAAAGAACGTACACAAAGTCAAGTTTAAGTGTGAAAATTGGGAGTTTTAAATGTAGCTAACTTTTTAGAATTCTGTTAAGTATCTAAATTCTTAATTAACTGTAAAAAAAAAATTAAATATATGGGGTGGAGTATTTCCTTTATGATTCAGTAAAAAGTTACTAGGACAACATTATTCAATGCTGCTTCCTGTTAACTTACTACAATAATTATTTTCTTCCATCCTTGAAAAATAATGAATGGCAGTGAAATTATACCTATTTTTAACACGAAACATTATATATCTATATAGAAATTTCTAGTTATCTCTGTTGAAAGTATTTGTAAGAAATAAATCCCAATTAATTTGTATGAATGAGATCAGTTACACACGATTTTTATGACAGAAAAAAAATGTCTTATTTTTTTAATTAAATTAATAATATAGAAGCAAATTTAAAACATATATGTAAACAATAATTCTGTTGTCAATTTTCTAAAGATATAAAATGACAAATTGCCACTAAACCACACCCTTTGACAGTTTTTGCAGGTGTGAGAAAGTAGAAGAAAGTACACAACTACATACGAAAAATGTATTCAAAACTGTAAAATAATTTAATTTAAATACTTAAAAATATAATTTAAAGGTTCTAAAGTATGTAAAAATACAATTTTTTTATTTAAAAAATTAAAAAATAATATAAAAAAATTTAAATTTTATTCCACCCCAAAGTGAAGAAGTACAAAGGGATGAAGTGTTTATCTAATTTTTTTTTTCTATTAAAAGTATTTATTATAAACTAAATTTATAACTCGTCTTCGAAATTTTCTAATTATTTTAAATTTTTATCAATTATTATTACTTAAAGTTGTAGTCGTATAAATTTATATGGACACTATTTTATACTTATATAAATAAATAGTATAAAAGAAAATATTCGTGAAGGAGAAACTATTAAAAAATTTCCATATTGAATTAAGAGAAATATCACGAATTTAATTTTCTGTAAAATATTCACAGAAACGAAAGTTCAAGGAGCTGAGATCTAAGGTAAAAAGTCAACTATAATACGCACTTGGTAAATGTAATTGTTAATACCTTCCAAAAAAAAAAACAAAAAAAAATCAAATAGGAACCAATAAATACGATTGTTACTACTTTCCTATAACTTAAATGCAGGTGCCACTAAGTATATTTGTTATGAATGTTCCATAAAAATCAACTAGAAGATAAGTAAATAGTAAAATACAGTCGACCCACCCCCTATAATACTGTTGATAATTCCGTATTATATGAATTCCATGTTGTACGAGTCACTTAGATTTTACAAATACACAGCCCGGCACACGTATTTGTAAAATCTAAGTGACTCGTACAACACGGAATTCATATAAAACGGAATTATCAACAGTGTTATAGGGGAGGGTCGACTGTAAACTAAACAGGGCAAAGGCCTTAAGTTTTCTGTTTTCTAAAACATAATTAAACGTTTTTAATAAATAGAAACAATTAAAAATAAATAAATAAATAAAGTGTAGATTAATTAATTTCAATGTACTGTATGTACCAATTATCTGTTATTTTACGTGTCTATTCGAACTTGATTTTTTTTATTTATCATAAATAAATAAATGTACAATTACTACTTTGTAAAAAAAAATTAATCACGAAGTAAATAGACGTAATTATTATTAGAAAATGAGTAAATAAAATTTTTGTAAACGATCCATTGTGGGTAGGGGAGCAAAAGGAAGTATGGCATTACAGAATAGAACACACAAATTACAAAAGTCGACCTTGAGACAAGGTTGCTTTCCTATCATTAAATCATCCGTTAGTCAACTGCTGAGGGAAGTAAAGTTTAAAACTAAAGATTGAGAAGGGAATGAGAATTAATAATAATAATAATAATAATAATATGTATATATGTATATATATATAAAAACAAGAAACATCACTCGAGTTTTCAAGGTCTGCCCGGAAAGAACCTTGACCGGGCATAATCAGACTGGTTCCTTTTTAACTTTCCCATTTTCAACTATCATCTCCGTCTGTTGAACTTTGACCTTCGATAATATTATATATTCGGGATCACTGATTCGTGTCTAACACTAATACTTTATTGCCTATTTTGTATTCATATTTATTATTATATTGTTGAACTCTTAGGTTCAAAAAACGCAAGAAAAGAATATTCATTTTTTTTTTTGGATATTTTTTTAAGGATATTTATCACTAAACTGTGTGAGATTTTTTGATATTATGTGACGAGTTATTGTGCACTTTATCCTTTGTTAGTTCTATTATATGTTATATTGATGGCACGTTTTTCAGTATATTTAAATTATTTTTTTTATTAATTATTCTTTGATTTGTATGAAGTTGTTTGTCATATTTTAATGAATGTAAATCTTAAATAATTTTTTTTTTTTTAAATTAAAATAAAATTCAATGTGCTCTTCGAAACTGTAATACGAAAAATGCGTTAGATATGTTGAAAAGTACGCTGGAAATATTGGAAAATGAGCTAAAAATGGTGAAAAACACGCTGAAAATGCTAAAAAGTACGATAAAAATGTTGAAAAATAAATATTTTTAGGTAAATTTTTCTATTATTCAATACTTATTACTATAGTATTTAATAAAACATATCATAATTTAAAATATTGTATTAAAAAATCCCAAGTTTCCACTCATTAAATCCCATTAAGATATAGTATTTTAGACAAAGAACTACCAAAAAATCATAAATTTCCTTAAAAAAAACAAAAAATATATATTATTAATACTGTATTATTATACTTTTTAATAAGAAAAAAAGTGACCCGAACCAGTTGAATATTTTAAATGTAACATAGTTAAACGAATATATATATTTATATTTTTAGAAAAACTTTATTTATTTATTTATTTATTTTTAATTTGAGGTTATAAAATCGAAGATAAACAAAGTAGTAAATATCGATTATCGTTCTAACGATAGTAAAAATAAGGTATTTAAACTATAACAAGATGTACATAATCAATTCAATGTTCCAAATACTGTCGTTAAAGGGGGTTCAATTGCCTTCAGTTGGACCGCCTAAACCCTGTACAGACCTCATCTTGTTCTTGACTGACCTCACAACCTGCAACTCCTTTAGATAAGAGTGATTGGCTCGTAGACTATGATTACCTGGGGCTTATTCTAACATCAACTACCCTTAGTTTTGACGAGGAGGTAATTTTAACCTGTTCGTATTTGTGTATCGATTAAGATTTCTGGCGCCGCTGTCTGCATACAATTTGAAATATATTCATTTCTAAAAACATTATCGTTCCTTCTTTCAAAATTCTTCTTCTTCTTCTTCTTCTTCTTCTTAAAGTCTGTAATTAAATTACTCGTTAATCAAGTAATTAAATTGACGCATATTTTGATTACTTAATAAAATTTTGTGATGTGTTCCACTATAATTATTATTCCTTTCTAAAAATAACTAAAGAAATCCTCTCCTATAACTACTCATTTCTAAAAATAACCACGTTAATTCATTGACATTTTCCTCACGTAAACTTGTATTTATTAATATTATTATCTTCTATAGAAATATTTTAAAGGAACGAACAAAGGGAAGAAGAGTAATTTTAGGAAGAACAAATAACAAAATTTCTTGTTTGTTCTTCCTAATAATAATAATAAAACAAACATATTTTCTCCTTCTTCTCTTGACGTGTAACTAAGTAAAGTAATTAAACTGACATTAGTTTTGATTACTTAATTCTAACCTTCAACAATGGCTATTTCTTTTCTTTTCTTTCTCGATAATCTGATAAGAAAAATGTCTAAATTTAGATAAGATAAAGAAATAAATATATATATATTTTTTTTATTTCTGTACGTGTAGTTACTTAATTAAAAAATTAAATTAAGATTTCTAATCGATTCTATGTTGTTTTTTTAAGATAGAAAATTACAGTCGACCCCCCTATAACACTGTTGATAATTCCGTTTTATATGAATTCCATGTTGTACGAGTCACTTAGATTTTACAAATACGTGAGCCATTTACAGCCCGGCACACGTATTTGTAAAATCTAAGTGACTCGTACAACATGGAATTCATATAAAACGGAATTATCAACAGTGTTATAGGGGGTCGACTGTAGTAGAATTGTTAGATAAGTTGTGTACTTTTGCTTGTTTAAATCAATTATAAGTGAATAAATCTATAATTTTGAATATATCGAGAACAGGAAGATAAAAATTTTCCTTTGAAAAATTGCTAATTTTTAAATATTTCTACACAAATGCTAGGTTAACTGTCTTGTTGTTCGACTTACTATAAAAGAAAGGAGGGATGGAAGAAAAAAAAACCTTATAAATTATTATTTAATGTTGTTTAAACTTATATATAGAGAATTATAAGTAGAATGGGAGTTAAGAAAACTAAATTAACCAATAATTTATGTGTTTTTTTTTATTAAGAATAATTTAGTTTATCAAGAGTTTAGCTTCCCAACCGGTAGTTCGCGATCGCTTAGGATATTCGTAAAACGTATTGAGATTTTTTTCGTAACGTTATAGGTTGGGAAATACTCGAAAGAATGGTAGTTATTAACCATAAAAAAATTATCTATTGTTATAATAACATATAACTTCCTGAGAAGATAAGTCGTGATGAATTTATGAAAAAAAAAAAAAGAAAATGGTTATATAATTCATAATAAAGTGATCTAAACTTCGATAAGTTTTTATTTTTTTAAAGTATTGCAATTAACTTTTTACGATGATTCTTAAAGTAAATTATTTATACATAGTTTATTTTATTTATTTATTTATTCAATTTTGTTGTTATTCTTCCAGGTAATTTAGAAAAATTGTTATTAAGAGTAACAATCTTCAACTGAGTTATGTAACTTTGATAAGGGATATATATATATATTTTTTTTTTTAAAAGATTTATCGAAAGACTTATATCGAATCGACATGACATCAATAATTAAAAGTGTAGTGGCCTTTTCAAGGTCAGTCGAGCTTAAATGGTCAGAGAATGTTGGGTGGTTCCAATACACGTGCCACAGACAGGCCTTACTTTGATATCTTATCGCGAATAATAGACTCGGGGAAGCCACGTTTCTTCAAAATGATCTTATCTAACTTCAAAGTAATTCTGTCATTCCTCTCTCTCTCTCACTCAATTTTTGTTGTAGCTCTTCGAAAAGAACAGCAACCATAGAACAAAAATTGCAGCTCTTCTTGAAGAACTTCGACTAAAAATTCCAGTTACTTGCTTGAAATTTCGTTCGAAAAAAACCTTAAATTTATTAAGGATTTAAGGGAAAATATATAATTTAACGATCCTTTTTAGGATAGTAGTTAGATACTTCGAATTCTTGTATGAGTAATGTATGAAATATGCTGGAAGAAGCCGTTGGGTTGCATGCAAATGAAGCATCTCAAACGTCCGAGTCTGGAGCCAACTGATAGATAAGATTGACGATGGTTTTATGAAAAACTGGATAAGTCAACTAATTGTACACGTGCTAAGAAAAAAAAAAAAGTAAAGAAAATACCACACCTATATTTACATCATTTAGCCAACATGTTAACATCATATTTATACAGTCTGGATACGTGCTTCATAATAAGAAATCAACGTCCGTAAACAACTCGAGGATGCTGCTTTCTTCAAAGAAATTTTGTGAATAATTAATCTTTTTTTTTTTTTCTCCTTAGAAAAACTTTGAATAACTTTTTTCCTTATCTACATAATACTCATGATTGTATAGTGTATTGCTTTTTATAGGCTATATTTCGTTGTTGTGATATTTTTTACTCTAAACATAGTGTCTAATGAAGTTGGTTTTGGTTTTTAACCTATGGTTCGTTTACTTTATGGATAAATATTACTAAGAAATATATGATAAATAGGCTAGTTAATATGCTGTAAATGAATATTAACTAGAATATGACAGAATAAACTTAAAAAAAATAGGAAATTTTTACTATTTTTTTATGGTTAAATAGGGGTGTTTATAGAATCATACTTTGTCCTATCCAAAAGAAAAACTGAGAGACATAAATAACACTTATTTTAATATAAAAATATTGAAGTTTATTATAGATATTTTAATTACAATTTATGATAATTACTGTTGGATTTTTATTTATTTATTTATTTATAAAAATCACACATATTTAGTGAGTATGGAATTCTTGTGGTAAAGGATGTCAGACATGAACTTTTCTTTCTTCCTTTCACACAAGTTATTTCGACTGACAAATGAAAGGGTAAAGTTTTAAACGACGTCTTCTCATGAAGTGAAAACAGGTTTCTTATCGTTTGACCATGACAATATTTTTGTCCTTTTTTAACTTTTGTTTAATCTTAAAGCTCTAGTCGGGTATTTGGAAACAATAGACATCACTAAGCTGCATACAATAATTCAGTTCTGAAGGATAGAATTTTTTTTTTTTTTTTTGGAAAGAATGAATAAATTTCTTTTCTAAAAATTCCTAAATAATAATATTATTGCTATTTTTTTATTGTTTAAAAAATAAATTTTATATATATATATATTTTTTTTATAATTATATTCTATACACTGCAAGGTCATTAATGTTGATAAACATGCTATTCAATGTCCGTTGGCATTATAATTTAGTATCTTTGATAAAATTTATTTTTTAAAAAATACAGTTTAGCAATAAATTATTTTAAAAAGTATACATTTTTCTTTTAAATTCTCTATAAAATATATATTTTTTTCGGACTTTTTAATATAATTCTTCGCATGTTTTCAACCGAGTAAANCGTATTAAAGTCGACCCCCCTATAACACTGTTGATTTTTCCGTTTTATATGAATTCCATGTTGTACGAGTCACTTAGATTTTACAAATACGTGTGCCGGGCTGTGACTCGTACAACATGGAATTCATATAAAACGGAAAAATCAACAGTGTTATAGGGGGGTCGACTGTAGTGTACACCCCTACCAAATACATTCTTCATTATTTTCGTCCATTAATGAAGTATATAAAGAATGTATTTTTTGAAATTTTTATAGAATATATCAATAATTATCATCTAATTTTATTTATAATCAAATTTAAACACTCTTTAAATATAAAAATCTATAATTTTGTAATTAATCATCCTGACACTTCAATTAAAAAACGACAGGGTCTATTTAATTTCGTAAGTATTGATCGTTGTAAATCTTTTCTAACCATTAATTTATTTAATATACCTCATCAACATTTCATGATGATGATGATAGTTAAGTTTATAAATCAAAAAGTTGATGAAATTAAATAGTTTACCGCTCCTATCTCAAAATAATAGTAAACTTATAGGTGAATATCATAACAGATGATGATGATGATGATGATGATGATAAAATAGTATTTACTTTTAGAATAAATAATGAAGTATTCTACGTATTTAAAGCTTTATATATAAGTGTGTTTAGAGTTTATACACAAGAGTAATAGGCTCTAAATATATGTAAGCTGTATAATAAACTTTTATATCTATACAGTACTTATGTAAAGCTTCATTATACACATAAAGCTTTATCCTTTGTCTAGAGTTTGGTGGAAAGTTCTTTATGACGATTTAAATAAGAAGTTTTACAAACAATATTAGACTTGTAGCCATAACTCGGGTCTTAAGCAGCAGATAAATGCCACTAATTTTCAACCTTACATTACTAAGATTAAACTTTAATACTAAATTTAGAATCTTCTTCTATAAAGGTGATCTAGATGCTACTTTTCTACATAACTCTATAATAAAATGCACTTATATATTCTTACAAATCGTGCTTAAAGTATATAATATAGACTTTAAAGACTGCAAATGTATACAAGTGAACTTTTTTTCAAATGAAATTTGCTTTGTAAAAAATACTTAACAAGTCGTTAACTTTCTAAGAAATATTTAATATTATTTATTTTGTTGTAAATATTAAATATATAATTTTTTTTTCTTATTGTTAATGATGGTTTTTAATGATGATAATTCTATTCTAATGTATGGTTAGAGTTAGCATTAATCGTATTTGACAATTCCAAGAAAATATCACAAAGATAGGAATTTTTTGAAAGAATATAAAATTCTTCACTATCTTCAAACACGATTTACTTCCTCATAATAATTTGATTAGCATTATCCAAGTACTGTACTTAGAAATCATTATATCTTTCCAATAGAGTAAATATTATCCTTTATTTTTACTGATTTTTTTTCCTCATTATACATCATCTATTAAACATAATAATCATTCTAAGAATATTTCTCCGATCAACGTTGAATAATATTAACGTTCTTTTCTAGTGTTTTACATAATTTATTTGTGTAAAAACTCGCGTTTTTTCCTCATTTGCATCGTACAAACTTGCACCCTATTTTTTTAACTGTGGATAATTACTAAGAATTGATCCTTTGTCAATGGATGTAACCCTTCATCAATACTTAAACAGACAAAAAAAAAATGGTTTTAGAGAAAGAAAAACCGCAAACAAAATCATAAAAGACACGGAGAAGAGGAAGATATCAAAGAAAAAAAAAAATACAGCCATCAGATGAAGTTGATAAAGAGTTTTATAGATTTGCTAGAAGGATGGTGACAATGTGAAAAACAAACAGATCGTTTAGATTGGTCATTTTCCAAATTACGAACTGGTTTGTTGGTTCACCAAAAAAGGTATCGTTATGACTCCCGAGTGGATGTTGCCATGAGCTATTGTCATACCTGATGTTGGTCTTGTTGGCGTCGTCTTGAAGCCACTGTCCGACCCTGAGGCCTTAGGTTGTTGTACTTCATACACTTGGATGGGATATACGTCTCTCTCGATCATCGAACTGAGCTTTAAACAAACAAAAAGTTTTTAAATAAAAACTTTATTTTATAAAAAAAATAATAAATACTTTAACAAAATAAATAAATAAATAAGTTTACTTCATAAATAAATTATTAAAAAAAAAAAATATATCGAAATTTTTATCAACCGAACGAAGAAGTAAACATGTAAATGCACTTTTCTTTAATGAATATATAAATAATTATGATTTATAATTNTCTCTCGATCATCGAACTGAGCTTTAAACAAACAAAAAGTTTTTAAATAAAAACTTTATTTTATAAAAAAAATAATAAATACTTTAACAAAATAAATAAATAAATAAGTTTACTTCATAAATAAATTATTAAAAAAAAAAAATATATCGAAATTTTTATCAACCGAACGAAGAAGTAAACATGTAAATGCACTTTTCTTTAATGAATATATAAATAATTATGATTTATAATTTAAAAAAAGCATTGCAAAGTAATCTAAATAGAATTTTTAATGTCATTTTTTAAGAAAAATTCTTCTATAAATTGAAAAAAAAAAAAAATCAGGCACAAAATCATACTGCAAAGTATCCTGTTCTTTGTATTAAGTATTGATTCTGTACTTCAGTTTTATCTTAAATCCTTCTTTTATTGAGTAATACTGTCACGTTGAAAGTTAGGATAACCTTGAAATGCCTTGGTTCTGGTAGCGTTATGGATGGCAAAGCCAAACCACAGAGGCCACATAGGTTAATATCTCTCCTCTCCCCTCTGATAAATGTAGATGGAATGATAAAATAAACATAGAAACGTATCATTTAATTCGATAAATAATGTTTTTTTTTTTCTGAATTATAGGAAAATCGTTTACAATAATATTATTTTTTTATTTGTCTTTTTTTTTTCTATTCCCTTCTCTCTCTGTTCCAATTCGAGCAGATACCTGACACTTGTATATTTATTTAAAAAAATAAAAAAATAAAATAAATTAAACCCTTTACCTGCTGCAAAACAGTTGGAGGAAAACATTAAGAATTAAATTAGGTCAGTTTAAGGAAAATTTGATAAAATATTTAATAAAAAAAAAAGCAAGCATCCATTTTGTTCACTTACCTTTTCATTTTAATAAATGTAGTTTTATGGGTTTTTTAAATAAATTTTAAATATTTAAATTATTTTTTTTATTTTATTAGACACCGATTTTTTTTAAAAATCCAATCATCAGCCTACAATTTAAAATTTAAATTATCTCTATTGTTAACGATTTTTTAAATTCGACCAATCACGAGCCTTCGATTTGAATTTTTGAATTTTTGAATTTTTTTAAAAATAAATCAATTACAAAAAATCGAAATTTAAATTATCGAATTAACTTAATAATAATAATACCCTTTTGATATGAATTTCATTAGTAAATTCCCTAGTTTTCAACTGTGAATAGGTTATAATTATTAATTTAGATAAGAAATTCCACTAAAAAAGAAAAATAAATAAAGTACGGAGCTTTAAAATAATTCGAATTTACTTTAAAAAAAAATAAATAAATAATGATAATAAATTTTTAGAGTAAATTTGAAAGTATGGGTGACCCAAAAGTGAGTTAACCTGTTACGTTGAGTTTCTACCAATTCGGTTAACCGACTTTTGGGCCACCCTGTATTAAATTTTACTTTATCGCATTTAATCTTAATAAATTTAATTTGTGTGAGTTTCTGTCAACTTTTAACAGATAAATTAATACGAAAAAGTCGAGAAAATAAGACACGACAGTTGTGTTAAAGTGTATTCAGCCATTATAGTAAAGACAGCTAAATAAATATTATTAAAAACACTTCCTCTGTTAATTCTCTATAATATAATGTTTATTAAATATAAAATAATAAATAATAAAAATTTAACGTCTTTTTTTTTTCCTTTTAATTCTATAAAACTTAAAAGAAAATTCGCCATTTTATTATAATAAAAATCTTTATAATGAAATTAACTTTTTATAGTTTTAAATAATTTAAAAGCTATTTAATTATATTTTTTAATTANTTTTTAAAATTTTAAGTTTTATTTTATTTATTTATTTTATTTTATTTTTGAATTATTAAAAGTTTTTAACAGTGCCATCTGCCGAGAATAGGTGACATTAATAAATTTCTATATTATTGCGAATTTAAATTACAAATATAAATATTTATTATTTTAAAATAGATTTTGTTGTAATATTTTATCAATAGATGGCGATAGGTAAACTTTTTAAATTTTATATCTTAATTAAGATTGGTTGAAAAAATAAAGTAGGCGGAGCTGTTTTTTTTTTGTATATTTTCTATTTATTCTCCGCCTACGTCTCTAAATCATTGTTAAATTAATCGTACTTATTTCGCAATGGACCGCTTATGTTTTCGAAAATTTTATTTTTTAAAAGAAACGATAAAATTATTTTATTAAAAGTATTGTTTTATGTGTCAAACGTTTATTTATTATATTAAATTTATTAAAAATTTTTTTTATTGGCACGCATATTTTTTATTGGCATCCATAACTGTACCTAGAGAAAAATAATCAATCATAACGCTTTAAAATTATTTATTTTAGTATATTTATCTAAACTAATAGTTTTGTCGCTAATACAACTTCAAATGAACACAATGCATGTATATGAGCATATATTGTAGACTCCTACAGCTGTATACTGTACATAATCGTATGCATACCAAAATCATACAAAGAGAAAAGGAAATAAATTGTATCTTTATGTATTACGTTTTCATAAAAGCCATTTTTTTAATAATAAATTCATTACAATCAAAACAGTTAGTAAGATCAATGCTGTTTTCTATGATTCAGCATTTTCGGCAGCATTCCTTCTCAAAGCTTACTAATAGCCGAACGAATAAAACCACTTTTCTGACAGTTGGTTTCGGATTTGCGCCCGACCAACTGGTAGGCTATGTGACTTTTCCATGCTTTCTTTACGTATCTAACACCTAAATAAGGACCAGTTTTCCACGGAAACTCTTCTCGCGAGTCAGGTGTTGCGTTTATTCCAATAATCCAATGCTTTTTCTCTCAGTTTAGCATCTTCGTTTTCTGTAATCCCAGTACTCTAACTTGTATTTTTATCTGATTATTCTGTAACCTTGCATACCTCTTGCAAAAACTCCATTAATTAATCCCGCTCGAATTGATAAATGGTAAGATCTCCTATAATAGCTTCTCAGTATCAAGTAATTGCAAAAATTCTTGGAACGTATTTCGGGTGCATTTTGATCAAGATCTTTTTCAGCAAAGTCGTTAAGAGATGTTTTCCTCGTATTGCGTGCCACGAATAGATGAAGTTGTTCAGGATGTCATATATTATAAGATTTCTTTTATATAAATATTATTTGTTATAAGCCAAGACAGGAAGTGATATCAGACCATTCGAATAAATTTAATTCTGAAAATAATGTGTCGTGTCAGGATATGAATCACTCCCAGTAAACACCTCACGTAGGCTGATCTGATTACGTAATTTGATTCTAAACTTATTTTCATTTAGTTCACAATAAAAATTTATATAATTTATATTTATGATTGATTTTCTTCTTGAAATGATACTCAAAATTCTTCAGTTAATTAATAGAACATTACTAGTAAAATAAGTAAGTAGATAATTTTTAGAAAGCGAGTCCTTCCTTAGCCATTAGATAGACCAACGATGGAACACGACGGAAGATTGCTAACAGAAACTGAAAAATTGACCCAAAAAACAAGCTAGGCCAATTCCTGTGATTCGCTGGCCTCAATCAAAGGCAAGGAGCAGACAGCTTCCCAGCCGCAGAGTGGCTGCTACGCCATTCACTGCAGATACCAAAACCTCTCCTTTGATCTTAGCCAAAAGGCCTTTTGGCTGAGATCAAAGGACCAAAGGATCAAAGGATCAAAGGATCAAAGGACCAAATTACACACCATATTCTGATTCATAAAGTATGATTGTTCCATATAAGTCATATGACCGTGAAAGCAGAGAAGCTTGTTTGAAAGCTCTTATAATGCACTTTATCAACTGGAAAATTTAATGAAGAATTTAAAACAGATGAAAGAGAAGGAAAATTGCAATATTTTTCTGTTTAAAAAACAAAAATCTTTAATTGAAATTATTAAAGTTGTACATATTTCACATCTATAATACATTTAAACATTTAAAACTTATTCTAGATTTGTGATAATTGTTTATAAAGGAGTAATTTGTCTGTTTCTTTTTTGGCATTTCGTAACTAAAGGCTCCAACATCCATAAAACTGAAGAAAAAAATTGCACAGCTGCTAATAAGAAGAAAAGATAATCATATCGATTTATTCCTTCAAAATATCCTGAAATAGAATTTAATTGAATAAATTTTTTTTTTTTAATATTTTAACAAAATAATTTAAAAATCTTACCTATTAAAGGAACTTGAAGGAATAGGACTACTCCAATAATAAAATTCATTAATCCTACTGCAACAGGCAATTTATTCATATCCAGATATTCTGAAAGGAGAATGTATTGTTCTACTCGCAAACAGCCAAAAAATACGCCCTGTGCACAAAATACTACCATGAATCCAATATACTCCCATAGATAGGGCATAGAACAAGTTAAACCTCCCAAACAAAAGTAACATATCACTACAAAAGTTACTTTTTTGATGATTCCAAGATCTAGGAGCCATCCGATGGCAAATCGTCCAATAAAATCGGAAATCGAGTTAGCAGACACAAAAAACACAGCAGTTAGTTTACTTATCCCTTTCATTATCGCGTAGTCCACCATAATGGTTTGCAACGTGTACATGTATAGATTGTACATTGAAAATGTAAAAGATATCATTAGAAAAATCGGATGTTTAAGAATTTCCCAAGTTACCTTTAAGGCACTTAACTTTTCTGTTTCCGATGTTTTATTTGAAGACTTCTGAATGTCCTTGGCCATTTGTGGTTGACGATAAAGGCAAGCAGCTGGCAAACATTGAAGTATGATTCCTCCTAAGATGAGGAAACTTCCTCTGATTCCGTATGTTTCGATTAGAAGGTAAGACAATGGTGCCAGTGCGAATGATCCTACAGATGCACCACATGTTGCAATGCCCATAGCTGTAGTTTTGTAACGATTAAAGTACATGCTGACTATAACAGGATTAAATGTTGAAAACAATCCAGTCCCTATACCTGTAATATATTACGCAGTTATATAGTAATTTTTATTGTAGAATTCTAATAGTTAACAGCATTCTTATTATGACTTACCGTTTATAATACCTAAACCGATGAGAATGAAAATAAAATGTGTAGAAAAGTAACACATTATGCTTCCTGCAGCAGATAAGATGCTTCCAATAATTACCAATTTTCGAATTGTTAGATAGTATATCAAGTGAGAAAACACTATACCTGTAAAATATATAAATTATTGTGCTTAACGTTGTAAACATAGCAAGTGAATTATATGACACGACCCCTTTTATCTCCCTAACCTGTCGACCTTTAACAACAAAAATTTAATAGCATTAATCCCCTAATACATAAACCTCCCTGCAAAATTTCAGAAAATATCAACAAAACGCATAGGACTTAAGCTTCAAAGAAGATGAACAAAACATCTGGACGACCACCCTCGAAAAACCCTCAAGCATTTTCTTTTCGAGGATGCTTTGTCCTGGATAAGGTGAGCCCATCCCTCACCACCCGGTTGCTTCTATTGTAAGCCTGGCCGAAGCCACAATGGGTATGAATAAAAGGCTCTCCTGGTGTCCAGTGTGTAGAAAGAGTGAAAGATAAAAAGCATTTTACCTGACATTTGTATCAACGCTGTCATTAAAGTGAAAGGCCACGTTGCTTCCTCGCTAGTGTAATTCAAGCATATCTTGAAAGTTTCGTAGTAGACACTCTTCGTTCTCATGAATCCTAAAGTAGTAAAAGTGGATACAAAAGCTGCAAAAGCGACAACCCATGCCCAACCTTTATCTCTCTCGTCCTTATCCACTTCTTTAGCTTCCATGGGAGAGATCGAAGTGGCTCGTCTTCGCTTAATCTTAGAATTTGACTTTCCTTATTGTCTAGTCCCTCATTTTACACTTTCTCAACCAATTATTTAATAAATTCTGCAAATCAGCATTACGGGTATGAAATAAAAATGTCTTTAGGGTGTGAATATATAAATTTTCCATTCTAAAATAATTTTTATAACTGTTGTATCATTATTAAGTTGAATTAAGGTATTGTGAATTCTTAATCCTCTCACAATGGAAATTTCATAATAATATTTTTTTACGTTGGGAAATATATAATTTCTGTTCTGCTTTAAAAAATTAAAATACTAATTTTAGTTTTATTAATGTGAATCGAGGTGCCGTTTCCAATTAATACTGGCCAACCCCATTGAGGGTTAGACTCATTACAAATGCCCTTAATAGAAGGTTAGATTTATTTGTAATGGGTCTAACCTTCTACAATATTATAAAGGGCATCATCTTCAAGTAATTCAGTGAAATATAAAAGACAATGTAAGTTTAAGAAGAATTTTAACAGCAGAATGGCCGAGCAGTTATGCTGGCATCTTATCGCTCTGTTGGATCCAGAATCGAACCCGGAAACTTTAGGAATTTTCAAATGAATTTATGAGCAAGAAGAGGAATTAATTCTTCATGTTTTAACCGAAAAATCAGTTAAAATATTATTTAAAAAAAAATTAAATACATTCAGAATTTTTTACGAATCACCTCGTATTACACACCGAATTTACACAGGAATTTCTTAATCATTCAAGTATAATACTTTATATTGTGTTCGATTGTTAGAAAAAAAAATTGGGAATTTCCAACGTAGAATTGTCTTTCAATTGAAAAATATTTAAATATAATTAAATATTTTATTATTTTGCATACATCACGGAACTGACTTTTACTCAAAATATAGAAAAATAAATCATAGCCATTATTTAATTATTTATTATATTATTTATCTAATTAACAATATTTCAATTTAATGTTTTGCATTAGTCATGACGTATTTTATATTAATTTATTTCTGTATTTACATATATGTTCGATGGAAGAACATACATCTATTAGGATAACAACTATATTTCGTTATTTATTGGATTATAATTTTAAAAATATGATAATTATTTTCCCATCATTATCTTCCTCCTCTTCCTTTTGTGTCCTTTTACTTTCCCATCTATTATACATAATAGGGGTGAAGTATTATATATAACAGCTGGGAAATTATGTCGATCAGCCAAAAAAAATGACCCCCACCCGAAGACTTTTACATTTTAGGAATCGGGAATCTAAAAATTTTGAGAAATACAAAAAAATTTAGGGTTTTTTTCTGTACGTTTGTATGCTAGTGTGTGGGTGGAGACACTCACTTTGAAGCTTAATAACTCCTGTGTTTTTTGTCAAAAATTTCTGAAATTTTCCAGGAAAGTTATTGTATTAGAGGAATCGATGATATTAAATTTTGGTGGTTAAAGGTCGAGGGGGTGGGAAGTTATAGAGAGTCGTATATCGTATTTCGTGTTGAATCGGACTTAATGAAGATTTTACTAATTATTAGCATTTACAATTTTGTTTTTTACATATAAAATTCGTATCTACTCTCAAAATTAAGCTTTTTTTATTATTATTTTATAATAATTAATAATGTAAAAAGTTTTTAAAATATCATAACAGATGGAGCCACACATAATTTTCATTATAATTAACGTTTTGCCGGGAAAGTTACGCAATTCGTTATTGGATTTTTTTTTACTTGGTAAGTCAAGGAATGTCTGTGTATAATAGCATTACATAATAATAATTATATTTTACTTAATTTACTTTTCGTTTAAATACAGTCAACAAGGAATAAAATATTTATTTTTTACGTTCATGTCGCGCCATCTGTTGTCATTTTGAAGAGTCACTAAACGATAAACAATATCATTTTATATACATAATTTTATTATGCACATTCATTTTTTTACACATTACTAAAGGATTTATAATTATTGTTTATATTTATCTATCATTGAATTTAATACCTACATTAATAACTATTAAGTAAGATTAATTTGTTTCGTCTTTCGTTGACATTTCTGAATTAATGGTTCCAACATCCATAAAAACGCCGATAAAAATAATGCAAAGGATAATACATAAAAAAGATAATCGTATCGATCGATTTCTTCAAAATATCCTGTAAAATAAATTTAGAAAAAATTAAATTATATTAAATATACAGTAGACCCCTCTATAACACTGTTGATAATTCCGTTTTATATGAATTTCATGTTGTACAAATCACTTAGATTTTACAAATACGTGAGCCGTTCACAGGCCATCACACATATTTGTAATATCTAAGTGACTCGTACAACATCAAATTCATATAACACGGAATTATCAACAGTGTTATAGGGGGGTCTACTGTATAAGTATAAATACAGGGTGCATCTGAACTGATATAAGAAAATCTGCATACATAAACTACGTACTAAAATACACTGGTGTGCAGATTATTTGCGATGTAGGACAAGAAGTTTGATGAAAATTAATAGGTTCGGGACAGCGACAATGTCTAGTTGTGGACAACAATCCAGAACGAATGTACTGGCCGATCCATTCAAACAATACCTTCAGATTTCAGATCCTCCTCCATCAGACGAATTATTTGGGGTATTATCGTTTGGGTTGGTTGCATTTCTCCTGAACAGCCTAACTTAGAGTGCATAATGTCATCTCTATATCTCTATCCAGTCACCGATACCCTCTGAAAAAAATACAGGTCAGTGCAATTAAACAGGCAATCCTCATGTTAACCTTTAACTTTGCATACCATTGTGTAAATAAAAAGTTCTTAGTAAACATGGTTTTAAAAGACATCTAAAGTCTGCAGGCTTGGTTAAAAGGTTGGCTTACGTCCATTGACGCAATGTCTCTTCACTGCATGTATTCAACATGGCGTCGCGCCCGTCAGTTGCGGAGTGGATAAAACCTCTGAACACTGGTAGTCGCGAGTTTATGCTTTGAATAACGGACTGGCCACATAGTTTTCCTGATTTATTCTCGTTTGTAACATCTTAATATGGTCCAGTTTCTCATAGTAAGTTCTCCTGAGAGGTTCCTCCTCTTTGGTACATCGTCCACGTGTTTCGTTTTCGTATCCGATTAAACTAAACCAAATTATTGATACTTTCCTCCCTTCTTCATACCCATTTTTAACGCCCGTTCACAGTTAATAATTTGCTACAAATTTTCCAAAACGTATCTTAGCATTCAACTGAATGAAAGATATTTAAGCATTGTTTTCACCGTTGCAACTAGCACAAGCGTTTAAAATATCGATTAGTTTTAAAATGGATGCACTAAATTTAGTATGTAGTTTATGTATGCGAATTTTCTGACAATATGAACATTGTTCAGATAACATTGTAAAATTTACCATTGTGTATATATATATATACATACAGTTATGTGTGTTCCTGTATATGTGTGTATGTCCCATAAGTCTGGAACCACAGGAGTTATGTTGATCTTTGTTTATTCTATTCCAAATAGAGCATGACGCTGATTGAGGAGGAAAGAATTCAAGTTATTTGCAGTCAGCATGAAAAGTTTAACACAGGGGTGTCCAACCCGCGGGTCGCATGCGGCCCAATAAACGTGTAAACAAAACTGACAAATGTTTTAATTTTTGTATTATTTATTTATTTCAACGGCATAAACTCAAAAAAGAAGTTTCACAAAGCCGTAAATATTTGTTTATATTTTATTTTTCAATTGAAAGGAAATATTGATATTTTCAAATACTTGGAGATGTGTGCAGGGCCTTGCAGTAGATTTTCTAAGTATGATGCAAGTCTTTGAAATTCTGTCCCTTAAATGTTTTTTATGTCGCTCCCTCACGGTGCCGCGTGATGCGGCCGCATCTCTGCATCATAGCACGGCAGGGCCCTGGATGTGTGAATGAGGAAGGATTACTAAATAAAACTGGAGTTGTGACTAAAAGGATTATAGACCCAAATTTGGAAAAAGGGTGAAAAGAACGAATGATAAAAAGTAGTCAGAAAGGTTAAATAGATTTATTTTGCAAATATTAACCCTTAATTTTCCAACCTTTCTCACTTCTTTACCTTTTGTCCTTTCTCTATTTTCTCCGCATTTGGGTCTATAATCTTTTGAATAAAAATGCACTTTAAAATGGTGTTTCGTCTCTTTTTATTAATTAGAGATCCAAATAGAACAAATATTTGTGTTTTTGAAATAAATTTTATAATATTTTTATAATAAATTTATCTATTTCTAAGTAAAAATTGAAAGTATCCGAAGAAATAATTTTTTAAAATATCCTTTTTCGTGATAAAGATTTAATACTTATATTTATAATCTAGATATGCTAATCCTTAAATATACTTGTATATTGGGCCACAAATATATATTATATATACTTTTGGCCCAAAAATCTTTGACTTCTTCCAATGCGGCCCAGAGAAACAAAAAGGTTGACCACCACCCCTGGTTTAACAGATGCTGGGAAAGCTGAATACAACCTGTTAAATTCTTCGACTGTGGATCCACATCATCAAAATAACTCCTTACTCAGCTCCATGCTTTATGTGTAATTTAACAAACGAAAATCAACAAAGTTTGGAACTACAGGAGTTATTCCTGTAGTTCCAAAGTTGAGACATCCTGTATATTTGAACTTCTTACCTAGTAAAGGAATTTGCAAAAATAACACACATCCTACAGTGAAATTGCACAGTCCCACAGCGATTGGTAGTTTTTCCATGTCCATGTATTCGGAGAGTAGAATGTATTGTTCTACTCGCAGACATCCAAAGAACACTCCAAGTGCGCAGAAAACGATCATGAATCCTATGTATTCCCATAAATATGGAAGAGCACATCCTAATCCTCCCAAACAAAAGAAGCATATCGTAACAAATGTAACTTTTTTAATAAGTCTAAACTCTAAAAACCAACCCACTGCAAAACGTCCAATAAAATCGGAAAGTGCATTGGCAGATACAAAAAAGACTGCAGTCAATTTCTTCACGCCTTTTGTCATTGCGTAATCTACTGTAATAGTTTGCAACGTATACATAAATAAATTGTACATAGAAAACGTAAATGCAATAATCAAAAAATGAGGATTTTTGATAATATCCCAAATTATTTTAAATACTCCATCTTCCTCTTTGGAATTTGAATTGTTGCAAGGTGATTTCTGAATGTCGTTAGCCATCTTCGGTTGACGGTAAAGACAGGCAGCTGGTAGACATTGAAGTACAATTCCTCCTAGAATCAATAAACTACCTTCAATTCCATAATTTTCTATCAGGATTAAACTTAAAGGAGCCAGCGCAAAGGATCCTATAGAAGATCCACATGTTGCAATGCCCATTGCTATAGTTTTATATCGATTAAAATACATGCTGACGATAACAGGATTAAATGCATAAAATAATCCGGTTCCCATACCTGTAATGTAGCAATTTTATTAAAATTATACTCTAAAAATGTAAATAATATCTTTACTTACCATTTACTATGCCGAGAGCAAGAAGAATGTAAACGTAATGTGTGTTAAAATAGCACATGATGCAACCTGTTGCAGACAGGATACTTCCTATAATTACCACTTTCCTTATTGTTAAGTAATATATAAGGTGCGAAAATAAAACACCTACAAAATATATGCAAATTAGTAGAAGTATTACACATATTTCAATGGAATCTTTGATCATATGCCAAGGTTACAATAATTTTATCTTTATTAGGTTCGATGTTATAATAGGTTTAAAGGTGTTAAACATATCAAACAAATAAAAATATAATATTCAAACTGTAAAACCCTTTAAATTGTAATGCAAAAACATGAGAATTTCACTATTTTCAGGGCATAACTTATTTCTTGCTGGCTCATAAATGTTACCTCCAGTACTGAAAATTCTTTCACTTTCAATGGAAGATGCTGGATCTAATAAAGATGACAAGAAAAGACTTGTTTTCTATTTATGCTGAAATTTTCTTTTTAATTTTTTAGTTCTTCTATTGTGGTATTAATGCCAATAAAGGAACTACTGCTCTTTGCTTTTGATAAGAATAGTTTCAGAATCTCTATTGTGGGAATTATTGAAGATAAGGTGGTTTCTCGTTTGCTGGCTTTCACAGTAATTTCTTCGAATGGTTTTAAAAGTAGAACAATTTTTTCAATGAGAGACCATTGATATGGGCTCAACGTAGGAATTTTATTATCTATGTGACCAGGGCTTTTTGTTGTTTCAAGTTTCTTTGCAACATGTACTATATAGAATTCTAGCGAGTAGGAGTTAAAAAGTAGCTTGTTTTTGGACATGAGCCTCCATTGTTACTGAGGAACATTATGTTTTTTTTTGAATGATTTTTTTGCTTTATTTTATTTATTTACCGATCTTATGGTCCCCATTGCGTTGCGAAACGTTAAACTGAAATCTCGGTTCGTTTATTACCGCTAAATCGGTTTCCAGTGATTACAAAGCTATAATTAAGTCTAACACGTGTGCCCAACGTCTTTCTAGGACATTAGCTGGAAATATTAATATAATATTAATATTAATAAAAAGTACATAGCGTGCATCACACCGGGGAGCCGAAGATACGACATCACGTGTAAATTGACATTCCATTGTCATAGTCAAAACTTTTAACTTAAACATCGCGGGTTCTATTGAAGCTAGAATGACGCAGTTTGTTTTATTAGACACAGAAATACTTCAGCTTTTTAAACAATGTCAAAGTTTCTACGGGTCAATAATTAAATGTTGCGATTTATCTTAGAAACTTTCCCAAACAAAGGAAGAGATTGTTGATTTTGCGAGGATATTCGATGTCTTTTGTTTACCTGGAGATGGAAATACCAGGCAGAGAAAATTGAGTTTTTTCCACGTTATAATTAACTACAAGATCTCACACTATTAACGCAATAAATTATTAACACTAATCGCCCAATTAATCGGTAATCGGCCATTTTGTTTATCGGTGCATCCTTAATTCATATATTAAATTTTGCGAAAATACAATAAGCCAAGTCAGAACTTCTAATAATTTGGCACCATCATAGTGTTTTCCGAACAACAATAGATCACATTAATATTGTACGTACGTATATGAAATTACATATACATACACTACTGTTATGGCCGAAATATACTATTAACTTCAAACAGTACTTAAATTTAATTAAGATGTTTTATAGTCTTTTACCTGCCATTTGTATCAATGCAGTCATCAGGGTGAAGGGCCAAGTTGCTTGAGCAGCACTATAATCCAACTTGGATTGGAATGCCTCATAATAGACACTTTTAGTTCTCATAAATCCTTGAGAAGTAAAGGCAGAGACGAAACAAGCAAAAGCGATTATCCATGCCCAACCTTTATCCCTCTCGTCCTTCATATTTCTCATATCCATGGTATATGTTCTAAAGCGTTAATATCTCTCTAAAACTTTATAAATGTTTCACAACTTGCATTGTCTGTTAATAAATATGTATAAAGCTTAAATATATTATTTGATCCAAGAGAATAACTATTATTAAAGTTGTATTATCATCATTCATCTAGGATGAATGTATAGAATAATTGTAATTATAAAAATAAATATTTTTGCATATAATTCTATTGTTTCTTTTCGTGTACGGTTTGTTTTATTACTTACTGTAGAATATTTATTATTAAAATATTTGAAAATAAAATAGCTTTCACATTGTTTATTTTTTTTTATCATTTGTTAATCTATTTGATTGTTTATTCTTTTGTCGATCTCCAACACCTCTCTTCACTCTTTCGGGTGTTGTGTTGCGGCAAAACAACTACATTCATTGTTTTTATTGCACAAACAACATGCATACATCCTGATCCTGCAGAAAGCATTACGCCATTACCAGGGAAATGTTTATATGGATAAAGTTACATAAAATAACAGAGTAATCAAATTACAGTAAGATCCGTTTGAAAGGGATTTCATCATATACAATTCATTCATACGAATCGGTGTTAGGGTAGAGAAGTTAACATAATAACAATCATTAAAAAATGAAGTACAATAATTAGATTGTGTCAACTCCTTAAATATAATACCAGTGGTACCAGAGGATACGAAATTAATCCGTTTCGAAACTGAGATCGTATCATGAAAATGTCGTAAGGTGAATCATTTTTCCCCCATACGATTACATGTAAAACCAAGTACAGGTAGGCCTCCTACAACGCAGTGCCTTTACAACGAGTTTTCGCTCCAACGCGGTTGGAAAAATATGGGAATTTTTTTACAACGCAGTACTTTTACAACGCGGTTTACGGTATTTAGAAACGAATTATCTTTCACATAACAAGAAAAATCGCAACGGATCACGTGATACGAGCAGCAGTTCGGCATACAGAGCTAAATATCCTTGAAAACAGCTTTTTGTCGCCATTGGCGTGTTATTTATTCCCTTGAAAGTTTCAGGGGAAGACCGATTTCTAGATAGATGTGCATCAGTTACCGTAAACACTCAAATATATCACTAAATTTTCCATCATTTATACTGTTTCAATAAGTGGGGACAACAAAAAAATGGTCCAAAATACAGTATAAACTTCTATTGGGTGTATATTTTTAACAACATAGTAAAAAAAAGTTAGTTTTTGCGATTTTTACTGTCCACAAAACTGATTGAAAAAATTTTAGCCATAACAATGCCAAATGAAAAGAAAGGAATTTAACATTTAAATAAAACTGTACTTAAACACAAAGCCTTAAAAATATTTGATTATTTAAAACAAATGGGACAGTCGTCAGTTGATGAAACCGGTATTAAATTCGTGGCTAGCAATGGCTGGTTTGAAAAAAATTCAAAAAACGCCATTCAAACGCCAACTTTTTCTCCTTTTTTAGAACCGAATCCCAGTTTTTGTATTGAGTTGGTGTCTTCTATAACGCGATTTCCAACAACGCGGTATTTTCAAGGAACGTATCTACAGCGTTATAGGACGTCTACCTGTATTTTAAAACAAATTAGAATAAGTATTTTTATATAAAAATGAAATAAAGGATGAAATTACAAACATATATAAAGAAAGTGTGAAAACAAAGTAAGAAAACAGTCGACCCCCCTATAACACTGTTGGTTACTCCGTTTTATATGAATTCCATGTTGTACGAGTCACTTAGATTTTAAAAATACGTGTACCGGGCTGTGAACGGCTCACGTATTTGTAAAATCTAAGTGACTCGTACAACATGGAATTCATATAAAACGGAATAATCAAGTGTTATAGGGGTCGACTATAATCCTAACCCCACGTGAGCACTAAGGGGGCCTTTAAATTAAGCCAGTCGTGAGTTAGGCCGATTCCACAATAGGGCAGTCAGATGATGGGGAATAGGGCCAGGCGTATTCATGACGAAACATACGAAACATACATTGTGCTTTTTTTTCTACATATTTTATGATATTTTTAACATAAAATCCTGGCCGTGGTGACTTAATATGTAGGTGTGCACATAAGTATGACGTGACAATAGTAACTATGCAAGTTGTTACATAATAAATAATAATAATTATGACATCACGTGTTTTTACGCATTGTTTACGTACTCTTATCAGAATTTGACAGTGTAACGCGCACAAATTTAGTAAAGGTAGAGATTGTGAGGATGTAAAGGTTATGTTTAGGACTTTCTAGGGAAAACTGACCCCTATTTAGGTGTAAGGTTGGCCACGTAGATTTTCAGGATAAGGTGTGGGCTCACGACTGCAGGGTAATGGGTTCACGCATCACCAACCTGCTGACCACGTGGTGATTTTCGGGTTTTCTTCATTCTATTTCGATTTTCTGTATACGCAAACCGTAACATTAAGCAAGAATATCGTGTAAAAGGTTATGTTTAGGACATGGTCTTGAAATTCCTCATAATAAACACTTAGTTTTCATAAATCCTTGTGTAACAAAGAGAGAGACAAAACACGCAGAAGAATCAATGCCCAACCTCATCCTTTTCCTCTTCCTCCATTTTTTATTATTCGTGATACACAATAGACTTTTCTTTTCTGATACCATTCGTAGGTTGAAGTAATGTTTCTATATACAAACAATATTACTTCAACCAAAAACGTGAACAATAAATGTGTGTGAATGATATTGATTTCCATCCGTAAATCTCTCGAATGACTTACTGAGATACAGATTAAGTAAGTAAATAAATCAGATCAATAATATAAAATACATGTTATAATACTTTTTATTATGTACAGAACTACCTGATAAATATACAAATTGGTGCCGCCATTTGCGATATACAGTGAGGTCTGGTACAGTTTCGATTGTATAATATATACAATTGTTTTATGATAATGTAAGTACAGTTATTTTGTGTTTTATTCCATCTCCAAGTTCAACGTCAACTTTTAGTGTATACGAGTTGAAATTATTGGTATGCAGGGATTTAGCACTTATAAGAGGAGGGTGTCTTGATTTAAGTCGATTTATGTTGAGGTCATCAATATCCTGATGATCGGAAGTTGTGGATTAGACAATATTTTCCTATATTCCCTGAGCAAAGTGCTGTCCCTTCGGAGTGCAGATGGAGGGATATGGCTCAAAATAGTAACCAGTGAATAGGAGTTGATTTAATAGTACCTGTTATGATACGTAGAGTAGCATTTAGTTGGGCATCCAGTTTTTTAATGTGAGTACTGTTCATCCATACCGGTGCACAGTATTCTGCTGCAGAGAAAACCAAGCCAAGAGCAGAGATCCGTAAGGTGGACGGCGAAGAACCCCATGTAGTTCCACATAGTCTTTGGAGGATGTTGTTTCTGGTATTAACCTTGGCAGCTAAATTCATCAGATGTGTTTTAAAAGATAAAGTTCTATCCAAAGTGACGCCAAGATATTTCGGGTTCATATTATGTTTCAATAAATTGTTGTCAAAGTAAACCTTTAATTCTTCATTTGCCAGCTTATTATTAAGATGAAAGCATGTAGCTTCAGTTTTTGTTTTATTCAATTGAAGTCTCCACTGGCGAAAATATTGTCCTAAGGTTGATAAGTCCTCTGTCAGGATCTTTTCAGTAATTGCAAGGTCTTTATGTCTCGTGGCAATCACCCAATCGTCTGCATATCCAAATGCCCTTGCCTTTGTTTGAGGCAAGTCAGCTATGTAAAGACTAAAAAGCAATGGTGCCAGGACAGAGCCCTGAGGTAGGCCATTATTTAGTTTTCGTATGCTACTTCTCGAATTTCCCATGACAACTTGAAAGGGTCGGTTATTTAACATCTCATCAATTATTTTAACTATTTTTAAGCAGGGTATCACTCGAAGCAGCTTATAGATTAGGCCATGCCGCCAGACAGTATCATATGCTGCAGTGAGATCGATGTATACCGCAGATGTTTTTAATTCACTGAATCTTGGAAAAGGCGCTGGGCTGATGTCTCTCCGGTGGACAGTCGACAACTTCCGTGCATCACAAAGCGACCACCTGGATTTGAGTTATCCAGAAATCTTTGGAGTGTGTTAAATAGGATTCGGGCCAAACATGGGTTGTGCAGGGACAGTCTTTTTAGGTGGGGAAAAGTTGCATCCCCACAGTGTGACTGTGGTGCTGAAAGACAGACTATACATCATATCTTGGAAGGTTGTCCAGTAAGATCTTTTCCGGGACAGCTGAGTGACTTCCTGATTATGACTGAAAGTGCTTTAAACTATATTTCTAACTTAGATTTACATTTATGATTTGTGTTCTTACTTTCTCTGCTTTCTGTTCTTGTTAACAATTAGATGTGTAGCCATACGCTAAATAAATAAATAAGTGTATACGAGTGGCCACTATCCACCATTTGTTGTGAAATTTGTCAGCTGTAGCACATCGGCTTAAATACAGTGTAAATATTTGTATAATATAAGTCGCCTTGGCCTGTTATAGTCGCTATACATCACTCCGTTGTTGTTCTGTGCACTTTAATTTCATCGAAGTGGAAAAACGTGGAAGAAGAGGAAATTCTATTATAATTAATTAAAGTTTAGAATATAGCGGTGCGAATTTCATATGGGATATAATGTGTATATAAACCATAGCGGAGAAGAACAATTTAGTGTATTTATTAATTCCCATTTTGCTTTAATAATTACAAATCTTTAACAATTCGATTGGATTTGGGTTAAACGTAAATTAACAATAAAAAGTGTGAAGAGACGGATGTTCGTGGATCAATCCTTGCATATACATTCATATTAACAGTAATATGTATTTAAAAATGTAATATTCTCGTGTTTCGTGTCCGTATAAAGATAAATAGAAATTTCGATTTTATGATGATCCTTCGAATAGAAAAAAGAATAGATTTGAAGTCTAGTAACCCCTTTTTAATCTAAGCCATGTGTTAGACAAAACAGAAAAGGAAGTACATTGACAATACAATTTCTAACTCAAGTTATCCCTTGCTTTGGCATCGATTGAAAATTGTTTAATAATAAAATAAAAATACTTTAATGGTAATTGAAGTTGTGAAGTATATGGGGTTCCAAGTTGTATTTAAGTCTTTTTTTCTTACAAATAATAAAAGGCTCTTTTGTGTCGTAATAAGCGCAAATCCAATGACTGTTAGGAAAAATTTGCACAAATCTGCATCATTGTACAATGCAAGATAATGAAATGAAAACTGCTCATTTTGCATAAAGAGAATTTTATTTAAAGATTTAAAATCTTTGTGATTAATTTACAGAACGTCGTAGAATTTCTTTATTCAATTTTACACCCGATCAACAATAAAATCTCACGACATAATTGATCAAGTTTTTCTAGATATTGTTTTAATAAATGAGCCCAAATATGACGTAAAATCGAAGACGACACCGGTTTCCAATTATTTCTTTAGATTTTAATAACGAATAAATTTCTCCCTTCTTATTCTTTCTGCATCAATTCTAACCATCTCACACGGTTTCTTCATCACTTACCATAGATTGTTTTCCCCCTTCAGCCCACTCAATCCTTGGTGATCATGCGGAGCAAAAAGATCATTGAAGTCAATTCCTAACGCTTATATAACACGAAATTACAAATCTATACCATAATTGGTATCCAAATGGTTCACTGGTAAACAATCTTAAGTGGTGTTTCATCCGAAAATCATTGAACTAATACTAATACTAATAGTTATTCAATCGTAACAATTGTTTAAAATCGTTTCTTTATTTGTTTTCTGACATTTTTCAATCAATGGCTCCAACAACCACAAAAATGCCGAAAGGAATAACAAAGAAGAAAATAAGAAAAAGATATTATCGTATCCATGATCGGAATAATCTGAAAAAGTGATTGAAAAATACATTAGTCACATATTTTAATTAAACAAATAAATTTTTAACGTAGCTAACTTGAAATTCTTACCTACTAACGGCACTTGCAAGATTAGTGTCAATCCAATTACAGAGTTGCAAAGTCCTACTGCAATGGGTAAATCATTCGAATCTACGTATTCTGCAATAAGGACAGTTTGTTCCACTCTTAGGCATCCAAAAAACACTCCGATGGCACAAAATACAATTACAAATTCTACATAATTCCACAAATATGAAAGCGAGCAGCTCAAAACTCCCAAAAATAGGTAACACATCATAACATAAATGGAATTTTTAACCTTTAAAACTTCCATAATCCAACCTACGACTGAACGTCCTACAAAATCTGCGATGGCATTAGCAGATATTAAGAAAACGGCACTGAGCTTATCTACCCCTTTTTCCATCGCGTAATACACTATAATGGTTTGTAATGTATAGAGAAACAAATTGAAAACTGAAAATGTAAAGGCAATCAACAGAAAAATTGGATTTTTAGAGATTTTCCACGTTATTTTGAATGCTTTGAATTTATCTTTTCTGTTCGATTCGTTGTTGGGTGCCTTCTGAATATCATTGGCAATTTTTGGTTGGCGATAAAGACACGCGGCTGGTAAACACTGAAGCATAATTCCTCCAAGCATCAAGAAACTACCTTTAATTCCATAGTTTTCAATAAGCAAATACGTTAAGGGACAGAGTATGAATGCGCCAACAGAAGAACCACTGGAACCGATGCTCATTGCTGTAGTTATATATTTCTTAAAGTACATACTTAGAATAACAGGATTGCAAGTATTAATCATTCCGGTTCCTACACCTGTTAAGTAATAGATTATAAATAATTTGTTAATTAATTGTGTAATATTTTACTTGACTTACCATTTACGATGCCTAAACCGATGAGAATGAAGATGAAGTTAGTAGAAAAGTAACACATGATGCTTCCTAAAGCTGAAATAATACTCCCAATAATTACTAATTTCCTAATTGTTAGATAATACATCAGTGGGGAAAACATTACACCTAAAATACAAAATTTTTATATTAATTCCCTAGAAATTATCATGTCTTTCTAAAGTATAATGATTATAAGACTATCTATTGGTATGTATGGCCGAAATAACTCTCTGGACAGCGTTTAATTACTATCACCATGCATTTTACGCTCCTGTATGATAATAATCAATTTATATACAGGTAACCCCCGTGTAACACGGATTCACTCTAACACGGTTCGTGAATTGGTACCATCCCCGTATAACACGGTACTTTTATAGCACGGATTCACTCTGACACGGAATTGGACACGGAATTCGAGAATTGGTACCATCCCCGTATAACACGGTACTTTTATAGCACGGATTTACTCTGACACAGTTCGAGAAATGGATAAAACCCTCGTACAACATGAAATGTAATAAATTTTTACATACTTAAGTACTAATAGTTCACGAAAATAATAATATTCGTGAACTATTAGTACTTCAGTATGTAAATTTTCTTTTCTCGCCTCCATACATGTGGTCCTTCGCGAAAATTGTTTCAATTTTGCCAGATCTCGACGCTTCTGCTTCTGGTGTTGCCAGATGTTTTTCCCTTATTCCATAAGTGCTTAGCACCATATAAGGAAATTTATAAAGATCTTTTAACTAGAAGCAAGCAATCTAAAATTACATACACTTTTTGCAAAAGGTAAAGCATGAATCTGAAAATAATGCAGAAAAATGCTCAGAGGATAACGATAACTTGCCAAAAATAAAACGCTCTCGGTTAATAGTGTTTTTAGTGATGACAAAGAAAACATTGTTTAATTTATATTAATATGTATCACTTAAGAAAGTTTTAATAAATATATTTATCATAATTATGAAAATATAGTAGCATGTTTTTTTTTTAATTTTTGGAACCTAACCCTCTTTTTCGTACTAGTTCTTTGTTTCGTACAACACGGATTCGCATAACACGGCAATTTTTTGGAACGTAACTACTGTGTTATACGGGGGTTGCATGTACTAAACTCATATTAGTAATTTAAGTTAATATGTACGAGATATTACCTGATAATTGCATCATTATTGACATTAAAGTGAAAGGCCAGGCAGCTTCTTTGCTGGTATAATTCAGCTTCTTGAAGGCATCGTAATATATACCTTTCGTTCTACCGAATCCAAAAGTAGTAAATGTAGATACGAAACATGCAAAAGCAACTACCCACGCCCAGCCTTTATCTCTGTCATCCTCATTCGTATCCTTTTTGCTATCCACAATCTTTTCCACATCCATATTGAATACTGAATATAATCTAACCACATACGTCAGTTTATTAATTAATTAACAACACTTCTAATGATGATTTTTCATAAATGTATGTGACTCATACCTGGCCTAAATATGTAAACAACTTATCAATCAGTTATTGAAGTACAATTAAATTCTTTAGATAAATTATCTATTTATCATTATACTTAAGGCAGATAGTTTTAATTAATTATAAGGCTCTTTTTCATCATCTATTTTTAACGATTATACAATGTACAAAGTATAGTGTGTTATACTATACAAGTTAAATACAATTTTGTCCCAAGTCATGCTTACAATAAAAAAAAAAAATGAAAAACTTCCTATTGACTCTTTAAATTAATAAAAAATTTCCATGAGAACTAGCATCAAAACAGTGTTAAAATTTTTATTTAAAAAAAATTAGCTTTTTTTGAGTGATTTAAAATGATTTATAATCTGCTAAACTCCTTATTGATTATACGGTAAGCAATTAGCAATTATTGACTGTTAATTAGTTGAATTACATAAATAGTCACAGGTATTTCTTAAAATCGTCATATAAAAACACTGTAATATTAGAGAGGTTGCGGCCGACGTTTTCAAATCGAAAACGTGTACGTCGGATGTTCAGCGCCGCCTTCCTGCCAGCCTAGAAGTTTGACAATGGCGTTTGGAACGTCAGTAGAATCGTGCTCGACGTTCTAAACGCCATTGTCAAACTTCTAGGTTCGCAGGAAGGCGGCGCTGAACGTCCGACGTACATGTTTTCGCGTTGAAAACGTCAGCCGCAACCTCTCTATTAAGAAAATTAGGAATTGTTAAAGTCACTAATACAGAAAATGGAGTTCTTTGATAGGAAGAGAAAAATCATTTTCAATAACTAAGCTATACAAATACATTTTAAAAATTTAAGCAATGATATTACAGAAGGATTAAGTGTGTTAGTACTCTTGAATGACAAATGTATAATAGAAACAAAGCATTTTCGATTATCTCATTGAATTTCTTATCCATTGATGTAACTATCAAAGACAAGAAGGAAAAGATTATGACATTGTACACCACGTTGTATCACAATACAACTGTACCTTCAACTGTACCTGTAACTGTTGTTAATCTATGTAAATTTATAAGCAATAACACAAAACTTTTCTCTCAAAGTTAACATTTCTTTTGAATAATCTTATTTAATCAACTTTTTTAGTTAATCACAGCGCCATATCTTCACTAGTAGCCATTACAGAAATTAAATTTTCCTGGAAATTTTTTCTACCTACCTTATTAATTTTATCTTTATATAATGTTAAGTATGTTTTTCATAATACAGAATATAGAAATTTTCAGTGAAACATATAAGAATCTGTATTAAAAAATCAATTATAATACTTTTATTTATCTAAAAAAAAACTCCTTACATATTTTACAAAATTCCAATAAAAATAATTTAGAAAAAGTGACCTATCAAATGCCCATTCTGAAAATATCATAACGAGACCGAATTTTCTTAAAATGCATTCGAAACTATACAAAATTCATACAGAAACTTCTACAACGTCAACACACATCATTACATTGGACGCCATTTTGGGTACATACGCAACGTTTACAAACACTTCCGAGTTCGAATACTTCTTCATTGATTTTATAATATTTTCCATATATGTTACAACCTATATGAAGAAAAACAATATAATTATTAATTTTATATTAAATTTATATTAATTATTTATAAAATACTCACCGGAAACACGTAATAAAGCCCAGAGATCTGACTTATTATCTTCTGATGATGTCTGTAACTCGTACTCTTCCGTGGTTTCCCAAGAATCTGTTGTCTCTACTTCTGGTATTCCTTCTGTACTTTGTGTTTCAGGGATTACAGTCGAACTATATGTTTCTGTATTCGATTCTATAGGATCAGTGGTATCTGTGACCATTACCGTTGTTGCTGCTGTTGTAGTTGTAGTAGCTGTGGATGTTGTCGTATACGCTTCCGTTGTATCAAACCCTTTATTTACTGGTGTTGTAATTATTTCTAGAGGAATTTCTGCTGGTTTTTTGGTAGTAAAAATTAAACTTTCACCTAAAAAGAATGGAAAATATAGTTTTTTTTTTTACTCTCTTGTTCTTGGCAGTGGCAGATCTATATAAGGGTCGAACCAAGGGTCCAAGCACAAAGCAAAATATATAATTGTTAAATAAGCGATTGAACATAGAACAAAAACACTTACAATATATATTTAAATACATATTGAGTAATTAATTAATTTTTGAATTACTAGTTTATTAATTAATAGTTTGAATTGCTAATCGCTAGATGGCGCTTCATACATGAAAGACGTAAAGCGCCATCTAGTAATGAAGTAAATTTATAATGTAAAATTGATTTGATCTTTATATAAATGTATAAATGGGGAAGGCCAGATGGTCGACATGGTGAAAGCACCTAATGTACCACTGTAGAAGGCCTGGATTGACTTGGCAATGTTGGATTGTCTTCCCACCATCTGGCTACTCCATTGTTAGCCTTGCTGAACCAATGATTTTAATTATTTTTAAAAGTGTCTATAAACGAATCAAAATACATACATACCACAAATATATCTAGGACAGCAAAATTCAGAACTATGTTGCTCTCTACAATCGTCCATTGGTGGTTGAGGACATTTCTGTCTTTGACAGAGTTCCTCGCCATAAAAGCATCTACAGAGTAGACACGGATCATTTTTGGCTATCATTTCTCCATTTATATATACTTTATTATTAACGAAGCAATGTCCTAAAATTGAAAAAAAGTTCTAAAATTTATTGTATTTGAAACCACTAAGTACTATACTACTTTAGAAGAGTTACCTGTAATCAAATCTATAGTCGCAGATGGTTTAATTATTTGAGTCCTATTTCTATTTCGATGGGCATAAGGATGACTGGTAATGGCATCTTGAGCTAAGAATGGTATCACTTCCATCTGCCCGTGTCTTCTGCTGTTGTCTTTCTGTCGTGGCCTTTTTTTATCGTCTAACTTTGTAGAAGCATCTGAGTCGTCCCCATCTGCTGCTGGTGTCACATCTGGCTCTCTATACCATATATTTTTCGGGTTTGCTGAAGTAGTAAACGATGCTATGGTCATTTCAGTAGTTGAATCATTCATAAATTTTTCTTCATCCTTAAATGCTCTCCCCTCATCTGTAGTGTTTATCTCTGCCACTGCAATTTCGGTGCCAAGTACAATGTCCATAGTTGTCGAATTGTCAATTGTTGAATATTCTGAAGTTGGATCTAAATCTATTGAAGTTACATCATATGAATAAACGGTGGAATTTGTATTTAATTCTTCATCACTTGGCTCAGTTGAATTTTCAGTCGTATTTCTTGTAATGATATCTAAATTTGATCCTCGATCGGAGTCATCTGAAGAAAATTCGGATCTCTCACGACCTGTAGCTCGTCTGGGTAGCATGCCAAAGCTATGTTTATTATGATGAATGGGACGTTCATTAAAACCCTTATAGATAATTGGACGTTGTAGAAAGGAATGGAATGGACCTTTACTTGAAGATTTCATGTTATGGTTAAGAAGAGCTGCTTCCGATATTCTGCGCCGTAGATTTTCTGCAAATTCTGGAAAGTATATAATTCTATCATTTTCTCGTATGGAAGGTAAAGGAATGTCTACGTCATTTCTTTTTTCGGGTTTCTCAAAATTAGATACAATTGCATCTTCTATTGGTGATTCTGTACGTTCTTCATCAAAAACATGTTGGGACGTGGAAGCATTTAATGTATCCACTTCAGGAGTGATTGTATATGATGCGATAGTTGTTTCTTCTTCCTCAAATTCTGTATTTGTTGTCGGAGGAGCTTGAGTGAAGTCTGTTTGAATTACATAACACTACTTTAATATCATTTTTTTTAAAATTAAAATAATATTCTGAGATAAACTTACTGCACTTATATTGAAGTGGACAACAATGGCCTTCTGGAATAATCGGTTCACATCCTTCCATCGCCGGAGAACACTTTACTGAAGTACATAACACTTTACCTTCCATAGAACAGTAACAAGTTTGGCAGTGAGTAGTGCTTGGAAGTGGATCTCCAACTTGGTAAATAATTCCATCGAGATGACAAACTAAAACACAACAAAGAAATCAATCACTCTTTAAAATAATTTCATAAAAGTTTAAAGATGAGGATATCTTTTTTAGTATTTAAAAAAATTAATGAAACTTTGTTACTTACCTTTTTGCGTAGTGGTTGATGGAGTCGTGGTACTTGTACTCTGTGTTTCTGTGGTAGGTGCAGTGGTAGTAGTAGTAGTAGTAGTAGTAGTAGTTGTTGTTGTTGTTGTTGATGTAGTAGTAGTTGATGGTGTAAAGCGAACTATTTTATTCTTTTCGCCTATTACAAGAAATAAATTATATTATGATCATTGGTAGGTTTAATTTATCTTTTGAAAAATGACTCACTTACTACACATGTATCTTGTTGGACAGCAAGTATATTGACTGAAATATCGTGGACTACATCCCTCGATCGATAGGTGACATTTCGGACGTATACACATCTGTTTACCTCGAATACAATAGCAATATTCACAAAAAGATGAAGATATCATGGCAGATCCTTCCGCATAAATACTTCCATTCACAAAACAACCTTGGAAATATAATTTTAAAAAATTAGAATTTTTATCCCTTTTATACCTTTATTTATTTTTTTTTAAATTCAGTTTCTTTCCCAGTATAAAAGTGTATTTAAATGTTTTTATAAGCAATCGCTCAACCATCAAAGTATGTAGTTAAGATATCTGAATAAGTTGAAAGCAGTAGTTTGTCTGGAAGAGAAGCCAACCATGTATATCCTACGGTATGAAATCTGTGCGAAGACACGTGTTGTTTCTGCACCTTTACCTAATTGACTGGAACATCATTATAGGTGAATGTCGAGGTGAATGCCCAGAGAATACCCACTTTCATCACATTCCAAACGTGTTAGACACTTACTTACCTCCCGATATAGAGTTGATGTGGTTCAGATCTGATACGGGAGTATCAGTTGAAGTCACTAGCATTAAACTATCCGAGGTCAACTTTTTTGATAATTTCTCTCTAGTCGGGGTCACGGTCGTTCTATATGTAGTAGTTGGAACGTTGTATGAGGTTACGGTTTCAATTTCTTCCGCTTTCTTATATATGGGAACGGGATCGTTGACTGTTCTACCAGAAAAATGAGATTTGATGACCAGAGACTCGTTTCTCTTCCCCACGCGGATGCCATCTGTAAAAATATATTTAATGTATTACGTGTATTAATTTTTACGTGTATTAAAAGTATTCTATTAATTTATGATGCAGACAACACTTAAAAAGTAATGTTACCTACTGCATATCATAGTTGCACAACAGTCCGTTGGCTCTTTACTAGCAAAACAATCTGGCGAGGGTGGTACTAGGGTGGGACATACACGCAAGAAACATATCAACACACCACGTGTGCATGTGCAATTTAAACACGGTTCTGACGTCTGAACAAGTTCGCCGTGTTGATATTGGCCGTCTTGATACCTGCAACCTTAAGAACACTTTTAATTTTTATTTATTTATTAAATAAAAAATCATATTATAATCCCGTTTATTAATTTTATTACAAGAATAAATTCGTAACTTTTACTACAAGAAAGATGTTTTCTTGTTAGAAAGAAAGCGAGGGGCCATTTTTGGGGTAAGAAAACTTTAACTTAGCTGTAACTACACACGTTCTTTTCTAACATATACCAAAAAGGTAACATGATACGTTCTCTTTTTTTTTTTTTTTTCAAAACGGGACAGTTTTGAGAATGAAAACAGCTCTAAAAATCACTAGAAAATGTATTAAAACGCATAAAGCAGTTCAACTTTCACCTTAAAATATAAGGAAAATTTAGTTTATTCTATGAATTTATGATATGTATCTTGTTTAAATGATAAGGCTTCTTCTAATTAAATTATAATTAAATTTCCGTTATATTTATAAAGATAAATAACTTATTTACTTCTTGGAGTGTGCTGATAAAAAGGGGAAAAAATTCTTAATAGATCTATCAAAGGTTAAAGGTCGAAGGAAAACATTATCCTTTATTTTTTTCTCTGATTTTATCTCTTAAAAAAAATAAATAAATACGAAAATTGAAGTTGAAATTTTGACACAAAATATCGAATTAAGTCTACAATTAATTGGAGGCAGTAAAATCTGCACGTGAGAAAAAAGAAAATAAATTTTTTGTCCCCATTTCCTCCCCCCTCAAGACACGCGATCGTTAATCAGTTTGTGATACATATCAACACCTCTTTCGACTATATCGTGATTGTAATCATGTTTTCCTCACCCTTTTACAAAGTACTGAAGAGGAATGATGTCAATAGTAAAACCTCATATTGATTAGTGTCATAGATAGACCCTTAAAAGCCTTGCCTTCTATCGTATTTAGCAATTGAAATAACAAAAATTTACAGTGTAAATGTAAGTATATAATGATCTCAAACCTGTTTTTTTTTTGTTTTTTACAAATAAATACACACCCATACAATAAATATACACCTGTAATTAACGTATTAACGTATGTACAAAACTTTAAACATAGGAGTATCAGCATGTATATAGTTAATATTAATCTTAATAAATATGTAAAATCACACATATATAGTGAATATAAGTAAGATATAAACGTAATTTCATCCATACGTTAAAGATTTTCCTTAATTTTCCGATTGAATGGAACTGAAAATTGATCCTTTATAACTTACTTTCTATATAGAGTATAGGTAAACGTGATGTAAATGACATATCAAATATACCTGTATTTATAATTAAGAGAATTTAAAACACCCTTCTTGATTTTTATTGTGGAATTTTTCAGGTTTTTCTTAGTAATTTCCATTAAAAAAAGTTCAAATTTTGCTTGCGTAATATCCGAAAAAAAGGGGTGTAATTATATGTCTAGGTACGTATAAATGTGGTATAGTAAATTTTACTTTAAAAAAAAAATCAATTATTCAATTAAACTTATGGCATTTTTGACGTCGTGAGGTACCTTAAAGGGGGAGAGAATCAGGTTTTAATAAGTAGAGTTTCGCATACCAGGACGACATTGTCCCAGTAACCTGGTCTTGTCCTTGAACTTGACTTAAAATATATATATATAGTGAAAGGGTCTACTTACCTAACTGAGCAGTTGAGACAAAGCTTTGACTGTTCTGTCCTTCAAGTAAGGGACCTGCAACAGGTTAGACAGGGTTTAAAAATGCATACACTTCATTTACATCATTTGGTACATAATCAGAATCTCACATTCTATTAGTGGAATGCTTGAAATTTTTTTTTGTATATTAATATTAGAGATATTAAAAATTTAAAATTAAATAAAAAAAATTATTTTTACAGCTTTAAATTCATTTAATTAATTTTCTTCCATGAATAAATCTGGATAAGAGGGGAAAAAAACAAAGGAATCGAAGCATTAAAGTGAAGAAAAGTCGAAGAAGATAATTATATTAACACTACAAATTATTATTTATTTATATAATAAATATTTTTTTTTTCTTCTTTTTTTCCTATTAAAATTTATTTTTATGATAGATTTTTCTTTATTAAGATAAGAAAAATTAACAGAATTCTTCGTGTTTAATGGATAAAGAGATAACATTCATACATTCAATCAGTTATATGCCTGATTTCAATGGAAGAATATGGAGTTTATGGTAAAAATTTATGAAAAAATTACGTTTTTCTATATTATATATAAAGTTAATAATGTTTAAAACATACAGTTAATGTATAAACAATGAAATTTAAATAGTTAAACAGAGTTGTAGAGGATGAGGTAGATGTAAAATATCCTTGATTTCAATGGAAGAATATAGGATTTGGGATTAAAAAAAACAACTTAAAATAACTTTTATATAATATTATAGTAGTAGAAATAAGTTTTAATACGTGCAAAATTAATGTATTAATAGTAAAACCAAGAATTTTAAACAACGAAGCGTATGTAATTTTCCTGTTCTCTTCCCCCCCAAAATACATAGTTTATATAAAAATGAATAAAAATAATAATACGAAAGGAATTAAAGTAATGAATAAAAGATAAGAAAAAATAAGAGACGAAGTTTTCATAAAAGAAAAGAAACTTAAAAGAATGGTAAATAGTTTGGCATACCTGATGTAACTACTTTTTTAACTGTTTACTCGATCCTCCAGGTTTAAACGGGTGAATGTTCTGCTTTGGGTCGAGGGCATTCGTCTTAAAACACACTTGGTATGTTGATTTTGACTAATTTAATTGTTTAATTTATTCAATTTTTCTATCATTTACACTCACTTGTAATACGAATCGTTTAAAAATCGAGTTACCAAAAATCTCCATACAATTTGGTCCATTTCATTGTTAATTTTAACGCTCGTTAGATTTATCGACCGTTATAAATTTAAAAAAAAATGTATTTTTCTTTAATTTAAATACCATTATACAGTGCCCATTACCGTGCGATGAAGTACTAGATTCGCTCATAACTTCGTTCGTTTAGCGCAATATTTCATCGTTATTTATTAAAATTAAATGGTAAAAATGATAAATTAATTTATTTTCTTTTTGTTTTGTGTAAATATAATAGTTTGGCTTCCCCCATAAGCTTCTTAACACCGCAGTGAAGTATAGAAAGATTTAATGACGTATACTTAATTACAAAAAGAACTACTTGCAGAATTATAATGGATCCAATATTATTACTTTACTCTAAGAAATATGGTGTGAACTCATACCTCGTGATAGACGTGAGTTCAGACCCCCACTTCAGATAAGACCCAGTTTAAATTTTAAGTAATTTCTTACCAAAATTCTGACTTCAAACAACCTCTTTAAAGCGTTTTTAAAACGCTTTAAAGAGGTTGTTTGAAGCAATAATAGAAAGGAAGAAAAATGAAGAAAATAATCGAAAATGAAACTAAGATTTAAGAAGAAAGCATCAATCAGAAAGACACTACAGAAGTAATAACATATCATCAAGTTATCCATCTCGAACCCTCGACTGGAAAGTAATGGGTAGATTGGAAGAGAGATTTGTCTATCGATAGATGTGGGGTGTGGAATTATTCGTATAAAATGACAAGGACATCGGACATTCCTGTCCTCGTTCTGTGGAATGCTGCCGAAGGAACAATACAAGATACTACAACAGCCAACCTTGACATTAAAGAGAGCATTTCCTCCCTTCCCCCATACAACGTCAATGTCGACCCTCACCCTACTTTTTTCTCCAGGCCAAGATCAAATTTAGAAAGTGAAATTACTTAATTACGTGTTACGAAACGGAAGTTGTATAGATTTTTAAACATGACTTTTCATTCCTGTAATCTCCGTGTTTTACATTTTTTTTTTTTTTTGTATTCTATTATAGATAAAAATTGAATAGGAGAGTGTTGATAAGGACAGTTGAAATGAGAAAAGGAATTAATGAAGAAAATGAATAGTAAGGATGAGAAAAAGATGGTGAGGAAAGGAAATTAGTGAGAAAAAGAATAATGAGTAGTTGCAAGAAAAATGAGAATGTAAGGCTATAGGTTAGAACAATGAAAATATAAAGCAATTGGTGAGAGAAATAATGATGAAAATCAGTTAGAGAAGAATGAAAATGTAAGGCTATAGGTTAGAACAATGAAAATATAAAGCAATTGGTGAGAGAAATAGTGATGAAAATCAGTTAAAGAAGAATGAAAATGTAAGGCTATAGGTTAGAACAATGAAAATATAAAGCAATTGGTGAGAGAAATAATGATGAAAATCAGTTAGAGAAGAATGAAAATGTAAGGCTATAGGTTAGAACAATGAAAATATAAAGCAATTGGTGAGAGAAATAGTGATGAAAATCAGTTAGAGAAGAATGAAAATGTAAGGCTATAGGTTAGAACAATGAAAATATAAAGCAATTGGTGAGAGAAATA